AGCAGACGACACGACAGCACAGCCGAAACCCACAGACATCATGAAAAGGTAGGTGTGTGTGTTTGTCTGTGTTTGTGAGTGAATGAATGTTCATTTACACCTCAGTTGGTTACATCAATATAGGCGAGGTCATGGTTCGATGTTAGATAAGTGTTCGCTCGTTACACCGAAGGTCCGGGTTCGACCCCCAACGCTACACACAATGGTTAAAGCCCATTTTGGCATCCGGCCCATCTGTGATGACAAGAAACAAAACAATACAACATTGCTGTTGAAATGTACATAAGTATACCTTTTGGTTGTCATGAGTTATTACTAACTTGCATATTTCTCCATTGTCTCAGACGATTGAATATGACCACAAAAGCCTCATCCAGCATGTCAAATGTACGGACACAATTACGCTTAGGAACGAGCCTGCCCCTTCTCAAAGGTAAAGAAATATGCTTATGTTGTAGAGTATCTGTGTATCTTCAGTCGTTTTATTTATGATACCCGTGAAGATACTAGTTCGGGTTGGTCTTCAGCAACCCATCCTCGTCGTAAGAGGCGTCTAAAGGGATTTGGTGGTGACGCTCGCTGACTTGTTTGATGCATGTCATTGTATCACAATTGCGTAAAACGATGCTTATGATGTCGATGACTGAATTATCTGGTCACTATATGTTCCCCCTTTTAGGTTACGCTACATGGCATTCTGGCCCCAGCAGATGGGCATAGATATATCAGACGTTGTCTTACAATTTCCGACAAAGAGAAAATGATGGACAAATACATTGTGATATAGGGGACATTCATGTATTTGAATCAGCCAGGGTCTGACGATTTACAGTATGACAGTATGGTAGCCAGGGGCCGCCGAAGGACAGTGTGGAAGTATAGTATCTTGGGTCCGTCAAAGGACAATGTGGAAGTGTGGTAGCCAGGGTACGCCGAAGGACAGTGTGGAAATGTGGTAGCCAAGGTACGCCGAAGGACAGTGTGGAAGTGTGGTAGCTAGGGTACGCCGAAGGACAGTGTGGAAGTGTGGTAGCCAAGGTACGCCGAAGGACAGTCTGGAAGTATGGTATCTGGGGTCCATCAAAGGACAATGTGGAAGTGTGGTAGCTAGGGTACGCCGAAGGACAGTGTGGAAGTGTGGTAGCCAAGGCACGCAGAAGGACAGTGTGAACGTATGGTAGCCAGGGTACGCCGAAGAACAGTGTGGAAGTATGGTAGCTAGGGTACGACGAAGGACGGTGTGAAAGTATGGTAGCTAGGGTACGCCAAAGGACCGTGTGGAAGTGTGGTAGCCAGGGTTTTGTCGAGGACAGTGTTAAAGTATGGTTACCAGGTTCTGTCGATAGATAGTATGAGGGTATAATTATGTTTCTTTGTGAACACATGTACGTCGTATTTTGCAGCTCCGAGCAAACAGAGGATGTCATCATAGTTTCACCAGACATTGGAGGTAAATATAATGATGTGTAATACATACTGTATGTTATGATTCATTCATTATATTAACATTCAACAAGCTTAATCTTAATATTCGAGACACACACGATATATACTAGCTTACAAGACTAATATGAAGAAAGAAAAACATATTTATTTTTATTTTGTGATTCAATGTCCACAGGAACAGTATGAATATTTAGAAATGAAATACGAATTATATTAACGTGATATATCTGTTTTGCTTGTAGCATTTCCTTCCCTGTCTTCTACTGCCAACAGCACCGTGAAGCTTACAGCTCGCAGGTAAACTCCCAAGACGCACGTACTTGTAGTGGCAGGTTCGTTGTTTGTACATTCTACTGATTCAAATATTCAGAACTTGAACTACAAAATCAACTAGAAAATATTGACACGTACATGTAAATGTTATCTTTCTACAAACCCAGGCGAATGACACCAGCAAGTGGAATACTGATGTCTGAGTTCAAGGCGGACACCCCCCAAGTTAAGACGGTCAGTCTCATGTATCAAATCAGGGTCAGAATGAGTCGCTATGTCAGCTACACTTGCACAAAACGTCGTAACGCTACAATCACCTTGTGCAACTTGGTTAAAGCCTACTGTGATTTATGATATGCCGACATCGTAGATCATTGCTCATGTTATCAAGCACTGTGTGTCTGGCCCACATGCGGTTATTTAAGGATATGCTGATTAAGCTGATTTCGGCCAAAACTACTCTTTCGCCAACTGTTATTTTAACCAAAATTTATGTCTAATTTTTAAAATTACTAAGGCATTGATGAACGCTGTTTCAGATTATTATTTATTAGAATTTTGTTATTAATCATTAGAAAATTATTGATAATAAATGCGCATAAGGTTTAAACATAAATATATTTACAATTAATTATTTAAACACTGTATATGCTTATAGGTGGAATAGCGGTGTAATACCAGTACTGGTTCATTTTCATGTGTGTCCCATGCAGCCAGTACCAAGGGAGCAAGCACTGAATGAAGTAAAAACAGAGTTTCATAATCTGCTGGACTGCATACAGTCATTCGACGACAAATGTAAGTTATCGAATGTACTATTCTTTTACACCGATGGCCCGGGGTCGATTCGCCACATGTGTGTGTGTGTGAAGCATATTTCTTGTGACCACCTCCGTGATAATGCTGCAATATTGCCAACAGAGGTGGAAACCATATTTACTCGCATAGATAACCGTGGTTGGGGGATGTGACCGAAACATGTGTTCATCCTGGGCTGTAATATATCTGCGTGCTCGTTACCTTCCACACGGATTCCCAGGTCATTAAGGTTTGATCACTTCAGATATTTACATTTTCTCTATCCGATGTAAAGTTTAGGTAGTAAATGAGTACAGTGCTTCTAGTTGCAAAAATAGGTGGAAACATTCCGTCAATTGATGTGATACACGTAGCAGTCACGGATGAACGGGACGCATCAATGTTTTATAGCTAATCACCAATATATCATCTGAAGTATAAAAATAGGGTGAATTAGGGTGCGTCAGCTGCTATTTCGAATGCAAAAAGCACTCGTGATGAATCCTCTATACGCTAATCTCCAGTGCTAATATCAGAGAATCTCAGAGAATGACTAATCTTTTGAATTTTTTTCAAACTTTTGACCTGATACAGACACTCACGTATGAGTCATGTTTCTGTCTGTTTTAGCGTCGTTTCAATCAAGTGTTACTTACAGGGCATTAACTGCACATATAAAGCCACTCGGGTTAAACATCTCTTGCTTGCAAATTCCAGTCACCGCTAACAGGACCGTGTGCGTTCAAGACCTGATGCGCCTCTTCAACAACCTGACACAGGTGGACAGAGTCGCCCTCGGTCACCAGTACCTTGCTAAGTGTGACACCAACGACACTGTGTGTAGAGATGAGAGGTACCTGTTCCTGGACATCCTGTGTCGGAGAGGTGACGAGGACTCGCAGAAACTGGTGTTGCAGTATGTCCTGAACGACCAGGACGCCACCGAGGACGACCTCAGACGCCCCCTATTCCACTACGTCGTTCTCAAGGAACCAATCCCGGTACACATTGGTCTTTTCTTATTACACTTTTTGAATCATTATATTAAGATCATCGTGATCCTGAAAACCCATCCGGAAAATGATTCATTGAGTTTGATGGAAATGTTTGTGAATTTGGATTCACGACTATCGGATCCAGGCAGCTAAGGTACCAACCTTTCTTCACAGCTAGTTGCAGTGCCCGTCCCACAGGGCCACCTGTATAAGGTGTACAGGTTAAGAAGATTTCACTTTGAAATACTACAGTTACAACTAGATGACGCACTTGTTATTTGCATTACATTGAGACTCTAATGTCTGTTAACAACCAGAAGGTGATACTGGGGTATTATTTCAGTATGTTGCCTTGAATGTTGTACCATCAGTAATGTAAATCTATATGATTCATTACAGGAAACTATCAAATCTGTTGAACGGCTCTGCTTTGTTGGTGACTATGACCACGTTCGTAAGTGTACTACTCTCTTTTTTGTAATCGTCATTTAACAGCTGGCTTGTGGGTCCAAATTGCTTTGCAATTGTCCTTCGTCCAAAAGTTATTTTGTCCCATTGGTATCACCTTGATGAATAGACCCCTGAATGTAAAATAATGACATGTAGTAGAATTTCGACTCTCCTCGTTTCTCGATCTAAGGATAAATTGTAATTATATTTTGTATATTATGATGAAATACATGTCTGAAAATATGACACTTTCTGCTGGTTGACTTTCATTCTGCCTCAATACTTTCAGCCTGCATCACAGAGTAAGATCATCAAGATAAATAAAAAAGTACAAAGAAAATAGAATATGACATGAAATGTCATGGTTATCTTATTTCATTACGTCAGAAAGTTGACTTTAGATGTCACTTGATGAGATAAACATAATATTTAACAATAAAAGCCAATTATCATTTTCAATAATTAAGTAACAAGTGACACCATGGCATATTATTGTTTAACCAAGCAATTAGTTTTTCCGTTTAGGTTTCCATAAACCGAACAAAATTAGGCCACTACATTTTGCAGACTACTGTTTCCTGATTAGCTGATACATGTACAAGTAGTAGGGTGGCGGGGTTTTGATTGTATTAATCAACTGAACGATGTAACTAATTTCGCACTGTTACATGTTTTGTGTTAATAATTACAAAATCTTCTGTGAAGTAATTATTATTTGACGTGTGAATTTATTACTATTGTCTTTGAAATGTTTTTACATTTATGGAGGTATGAACGTAAACAACGGTGTGCACACAATTCGTCTCTGGGATCTTAAGAGGCTTCATGGCATATCAATAAATAATCACAACAATTTTTTTGAGTAACTTACCTTGAAACTGACATACATTTTGTTCTTACCTTTCTTGTGAAATACGTAAATATCAGCATCACGTGAAACGAATACGCTGTGTCAACAATCCGTACTTGCAGCTACACTTGAGATGACCTTGACCCAAAAGCGAGCCTGTCTGACACTAGGGGCTCTCGCCAGATCCCTCTCTGATATGGGCAACAGCGCAGCCGCTGAGGATGTCCTGGAGAAGCTTGAAAATAAACTGGGCTTTTACAATCACAGTGAGCATCTATTCAAATATTAGGTTCTGATCATGATTAAAAAATATCTAATTTTTTAATTTTGATTCAGTGTTGAAAATAACACTGACCTTACCCTGTCCAGCATTGAAGCCCACTGTCCTACATGTTTGCTGGCGTGTAAGTTATGTGAATTGTTTGACCATTATATTATCAGCCGAAGCCAATGCTAGCATTGTAATACTAAATTTAGATCGGCAAGATAATAGATGCCGGAGATGATAAAATGGATCAAAATATCCTGTGCAAGGCATCGGATGATGCTACATTAGCAATGTTATATTTTGCTAGGTCTCTCTTTCCCTGTATTGGAGCGCAAAAAGCGGTCAATGGACGACTTTGACCACGAGCAGCACCATCATATCGTGTCAAAGATGGTTCTTCTACACAGTCTTGGGAATGCCGGAATGCCAAGGTCATTACGTCATATCCGTTCCTATCTCCAACCTAACCTAGGCTCCACAACATGGCGGAGGGCTGCAGCCAATAGTCTCCGTCAGTACACCTGTAACGAGGTAAAGAGCTTCAACCTACCCAAAGAAGTGTAATAAATGAAGCAGTATTATAACAATATAAAGTTGAATAAAGTATCATCATTGAAAAACGATTGAAGGGCACATATGAAGCCAATTCTAGTAAGCCATTGTTAAAACCTCAATAATTTGTAACTCTTTATTTTATTTACATTGGCACAAAAAATATTACATACTAAACAGTATTTACAAGAGGTGCAGAAGAGATCCTCTTTCGTTGATGAACAAGCTTGCATTTTGGTTGTCATGTATTATTTTCAGGTTGTGGAAGTAAAAAATGATATGCGCACCGGTAAAGAAATAAAAATAATAATCATTTATCCTAACAAAATAAATCAATTAACATCTCTCAGAGTGCACTAGCGCTGTTTGACATCCTCGCCCACGAGGAGAATGAGAAGGTCCACAAGGAGGCCAGAGAAGTGTACCAGAAACATCCTCAGAGACCCCACCTGGTCAAGGACAAGGAGAACATTCTTCTGAGGTAATGTTAACTTTGCTTCCTCCAGCTGCATGCAAAAAGCGAATCTGGACCTGACAGTTCAGTGATTGAGCAACGATCCACGCCGTCAGGGTATGATGAAATGTAAATTAACCGATCATGACCACCTGATTCATAAGTCACCTCTCACAACCAGCAACCAGCATATATTGCTGGGGACCAATTCTAACCAGGGTTTCTGAGGTAAAGGGTTATGAATCTGTGGGTATAGGTACATTTTATATATATAATACGTACATTGTGACCAATGTATTTTGTATCTTGTATTTTGTATCTTGTATTTTTGTACTACTTTTTTTTATATTTGTAGCAGTAGTAATATTGTGGTTGTATTGGTAGTAGCGTTACTAGTTAATGTTATGAAATTATATTTCACTTGTTTTGTTATTTTATTCGTTTTAAACTGGTACCTGGTAACGTTTTAAACTGGTAACCACTGTCTTCAACAGCCATGACTACACCTTCAACTCCGTGTCCCGTGTACGCCGTGAGATCTTTCACATCGACTTCAGCGACGGTATTCGTCTGACCATTAGGGTGCCTGGGTTTCAGTATGACAAGACCTACGGGAGCAAAAAAATCGGCGCGAGTCTTGGCCTTCGCATGATCAACATGCTGGACCTTAAGCTCCGTATGTATTGGCCCAATATCGGCCTTAGTCTTACACAGTTACAACAGTTACAGTGAAAACAAATTAGTATAAAATACATATATTCACAATGATGACCTATTTACATAGTGGATTAGGACTGGTTTTGATACACTCATAGCGTACGATGACATTTACGTAAGAAGTAAAAACAATTCAAATATGCCTTGATGTTTTTTTATTGCAACAATTTACATCAGTGATGAGCAAGCTTTCGGTAAATAGGCGACTGAATGGCACCCTGACTATAGTGCGATCTACGGTCAGCAAATAATGGCACAGGCATGTATTTATCATAAACCACCATTTATAATATATAATCATAATATTTGTCCGTCTTGTTTGGTAGATCCACTGCACAGTTTTTTCAAGATAGACGTGGATAATGCAGCATGGGTGACAGCAAACCTCGGCATTATTGGCAAACACGTGGACATCATCAGGGCGTCACTGTGTTATGCTGGACACATCAACTACGACCTCAACGTCTTAAAGGTTCATATCAGTAAAGTCGGATATGAATATGCGATGATAATGACAGGGATGTCGAATATCTTGGTAACATTACCCAAATGGAAGGATGTGATAACGTTCCGATATTTGCACATGTCCAATTTAGATGTTCTCAATGCTGATTGGTAATTTGAAGCCAGACTACGTCACAGTGCTTATTGTTGGAAAAAAATACTACATGACTTCATTAATTGTTCACGACGTCACAAATTGATTACGTGAAGTCATCTGAACAGTAGGCTACCGTCAGTAAAGTTTACCTGAAAGGTTGATTTTTCATTCTGTTTTCTTCGGCATGGTATCTCAGTGGGCAAGCACTATGAAATCGGCATTAGTCCAGACTGGTACAAGCAGTCACACACACACACACACACACACACACTCTCTCTCTCTCTCTCTCTCTCTCTCTCTCACACACACACACACACACACACACACACACACACACACCTCTGAATGGTAGATGTTATTGTGTACATGTGAATCAAGAAAACACATTTGCTTTCAGGATTTCGACATCAACCACTTCAAGGATCTCCTTCAGAAGCTGGACAATATATTCCACTCCATAGTAGATGGCATCAAGGACGCAATCGCCATGTTTAAGAAGATCACCCGGCCAGGCTACATTAAAGACATGCTGACAGAGATCATCAACTTTGTGAAGGGCCTTCCGGACCTGGTTGTCCAGTTTGTGAACGACTTTGTGATCCTTGTGAAGAAGGTGGCCAAATACCACACTGATCCCATCATGGAAAAGGTTAACTTGATCGCACAGAGGGTCAAGGCTTTTGCTGAGGAGATCAAACAGGACGCCCTTGAGTTCTATCACGTAAGGTCTTTAATCAGGATTAGATATTTGAAAGGGAATAGGATATTTTATATCACTCTTTGAATAAGTTGAAATAAACATACCACATTTCTTAGCGGGGGCTTGGCACAGCAGGTTGGAGCTAGTCTTGGTCTATTCTTCCAAATTGAGATACTGGTTCTATATTATATGTAGTAATTAGTTTGAATAAATGTTTTTTGCAAAATTGTACTAGATCATAAAGTAGGCCAGTAAAGTGTTGTTTGAATGACCCGATACAAACCTCTATGTTATTGCAGAGCATAGCTGACGCTGTAGTGATAACGCTGCCCGAAGTGGGCAAGATGCTGAAAGAAACTGGGGATGACATCGTTGCAATCTTCAAGAACTTCTTCAAGAGTCCAGCACAATCCTTCTCCAAACTTGGCATAGCTGTTTTGAAGTATTTATTGCTTTGTACTTTATTGTATCATTAATGCGATAATTTTGTATTTGTGTACAGAGGCCGCGAAATTACTAGTACTTAGTGGTCACGCGTGAACCCCGTTTGATTCCTGATATAGGTATATTGCATGATGCCAATCATTGTGTTCCTAGTGTTCATGATATTGCTAATATGTTAATGAACATATCTACATCATTGGAAGAACAAATGTCTTTTTCAGGGTCCGGCTTGCTGTAACAATGGTAATAGACGCCAAGAATCGGATAGTAGACGCCTGTTCATTTGTCAAAGGTATGGCTGACATGAGATACATACACAACCATACAACAAATAAGTAAATGATGCTGTGCTTAAACTGCATTCTCATCCTGCCTTGTTGCAATGAAGGAAAGTAGATTTTCGCTGTGATTGCCCCTTTAAGGAACAAGTCCATTCTGGATGCATGTCGATGAAGAGGTGACTGAAATAACAGATGACATCAAAGACCTGGTGGACATGGTGGAGGCCAAGATTAACATGACACTTCACCCCAAGTTCTCAGGACCTGATGGCATAATGGGACCTGTAAGTACACTCTCCTACTTTCTGTCACATGCTTTTATCGTGTTTGATAAGAACACGCCATTTACAGAGACACAGTTATATCGCCATGAGTCACATCCGTGATTTGCTCCTTTTTGTTACACATTTTAATAACCATAAAGTTTGTATTGATACCGATTATGTCCTGTTATAATCAAGGAGTAGATTATACATATGTTTCTTGTCAATGGAGAACTACATTGTAAGGAGAATGAACAGACGTGTCAGTGAAGCAATTTGTCTTACAGCTTACCTGCTCTTTCAGTACTCGATGAAGGAATGGTTTCACAACGAGTCACGTGTGCTGCTATCGAACGTCACACAAAGGTTATCAGGAGTGCGGACGATCGCAGATCCTTTCTTTAAGGCGTACACAGATGTCATGACTGTCGTTAAGGGCGTAAAGGAGGCATATGAAACTGTGAAAAGAGTGTAAGATTTTGTTCTAATGTTTCATAATATATTGTAGATGTAAATGTTAAAATATTGTTTACCCTGTTTTTAATGCTCGTCATTAACATTTACTGTTTTTGAATTGAAGTGTTATTCTGAAAATATGTATTAGTCTTGTTACAGATTTCAACGCCTTGATATTCTTCTAAGCCATTGTTTTGAGAAATACAATGTATTATATTTGCCTCACGTAACAGATATATGAAATGAACCATTCGGATGAGACTTCAATGCCTTGACATATTCGATATTCGCTTCAAACTTACTTTAAACTGATGTGACTTCAATGCCTTGACATATCCGATATTCAAACAGGATTAGCACAGGAAAAGCAGTGGTTCAGAAGATATTTGGAGGCAAGTTCCACCGTAAATTTCCAGCTGAGAGAGAATCCGGGTCCTGTACAGAAGCTGTCTGGCCTTCGACAGGCGGGAACAAGTATCACACTATCGGCGTTGATGTCAGTGCTAATAAAGGACAGGCTGTGCGTAATATGCATTTATATGTACTGTGTGGTCTTCAGTCCTATGTAAAGCATAACTTAGGGGTCATACATCTGAAAAGCACACACGGACACACATACGACAAAGCTGCAATCTTTCTGACATCAGCGTAAATTATTCCAGTGTCCAGTCCACGTGAACAGAAATGTTTCATGCCGCCTTTTATGAACTGGTGTGTGCATAGTATCATAATATTATTTTCTTTAACCACTTTATATTGTTTGTTTATTTTCCAGATCGTTAACCCCGTAGCAGGCCTCGTCAAATCAACGGGACATGATGAAATCACTATCACACCGACAGATGACAACTTTATGGAATACCAGATCGTTATCAACAACGTCATTCCAAACAGATACGTCAAAGTTTCAGGCGCCGTCATGGAGGCTGGGGACGCAATCGGAAATGCAGGAGACACTAGATGCGTTCCAAATTTCATTCACGTCGCTCTTCGTGTCATAGAAACTGGGGAATACGCTGACCCATCTAAGTATCTGGACAGACTTCTGCCCTTCCCACACTGGGTGCAAGAATGTAATGAACACGTCTTCAAATACATAGGAAAGACATACGAGGCCAACGGGATTACACATGGCGCCCCCAAGGTAACTGAAGACCACTACATGGGTTCACATTACACAAAGATGACTGCTGCAGCTCATGTCGAACCTGATACAGCTCCTCCTTTCAAACCAGAAGGAGCAGATCATCCTAAAGCAAAGGCTCTCGCACCGTCCTTCACCAAGCTTGTGTCGCCACTGAAGAACTTTGGTCTTATGTTAAAGTCTATCTCGTAAGTATCCAAGGTGTGGACCATTATTGTAACTCAATTTTAACTACAAATTATAGATATATACAATTTCCTTATTCTTGTGTGAGCTACCTAAATAAAATGGAAAGATTATGTGCAAGATATCAGTTACCTGAAGTCAATATGCTGTTTTACAAACTTGTTTATTTTCAAGTAGATATTTAATCAACAATACATATAATTTGATAAACATCACCGTCTGTAACTTTACTTCATTTTTGAAAAAGGAGTGTTCTCTTGGTTAAGCATTGATTAGAAAACAAATATTATATGCTCCCGTTGTCAAACTATTCTTTACACAAAGGCTTCCCTCGACACTTGAGTTCTCTTATTATTCTGTATTTATAAAACAAGATACTTGCTCTAAACTGGACGAGAACACAAACATGGCTTCAAGTATATTTGTGCCAGAATAAGCGACATCATATACAGTCACAATAGTTATATTGCAATTTATTCTATTATCAATGAAGATAACGACGTTCTCATAGATGTTTTCAATCCGTTTCAACTAAATGCCTTTGACCCAAATTATTATCCTGTTCCAACGACATAATCCGAAATATCCAGATGTATTTAACATAAAATAAAACGGTACAAACACTAAATGTTTTCCTCCTACAATAGGATTCCCAATATTGAGTCTGTCTTCAACATCAACACCATGACGGTATCAAAGCTCAAAGATATATTGAAAGCTAGGTCGGACATCGTGAAGGATATTGACGACTTCGTGTCCCAGGTTGCCCAATGTCTACGATCGAAACCTGTGGAGGAACCAATATCTTTTTCAACCTTTAAGATGCACATGCTTCTGTCCCTGAACAAAATACCTGCAATTGGAGACAAGATTGATATGTTGGAATCGCTGGTAACAAATAGCCTAAATGGTAATTACCTTTTGCAGTATATTTAATCATGTCAGCCACTATTGTAGATTTTCATCAATTATTTTAAATCCATATTTACTCACCGGTGCAATGGTGTGGCAAATAGTTAAAATCCTTACTTGTCACGTTAAATTCGTGTCCTACCGTCATGACATTGTTGGAATATCACTAAAATCATACTCACTTTGTTCATATTGCTTGCTGAAATCTTTGAGAAAGCTGAAATCAATATATAAACTCTTTATGTACGGTCATGCTTTGTACATTTAAAGTCTGCTTCTGGTAAAATACACGCTCAACGAACCCAAATACTGATTTGTTGGATAGTCTAAATATAAAATAAACTGCTTCTTGTTCACCACAGCTTGTCCAAACTTGAAACAAGGGCTAGCGTTTGCCTTCGGTCACCTGTGTACCCCTGATCCCGACTGCCAAGGCTTGACTTGTGGCCTTGTGTTTCCATACTCCCACTATGTGAAGTCTGTCAAGGTCCATATCAGAACGTGTGGGTCAAGCTTAAACCTAACTGCCCCTGGAATGAAGCACGTACAGGATACCCATGGTACGGTATTTACGAAATCGACCTTGCAATATTTCTAGTTGGACTTGAAGTGCAAGGGGTGCGATTATAGTTGCACGACCGAGTTTAATACCCTTTTGATTTTTTCAAGGTTTGCATTTTCAAGATTTCAAATTAGTCATTAAGATCATTTTGACCTCATTACGATCACATTGATCGCGGTACAGGAATTAATGGGGAAGATAATCAATAACTCCTTGCATCTTCTTGGTTGAAGTTTCTACTTAAGTCTTACTATTCGTACGAAAAGATATGTCATATTCGGGCAAAGTGTTAAAAATACGGCCAAATTCTCCTTTGACATCTGGAATGAATTATGTATTTACGATTTTGTTCAAGGTGGCGTTGAGATCCATGTGCCTCTGCTTGACGATGTAGTTGAAGGGATTCACATTGTTTTCCAACTGAGCACAGCTGAAATTGGAACCGACATGTTGGTGAACCTGACCGGCAGTCTATGCTCAACAGACTTTGGTTCCTGTTTGCCTGCTGTGGATATTATAAAAGGCGCAAAGTTCCACAACCCCCTGTGTTCACCAGGTAAAACTGAATTCTGACGATACCCCGTGACGATTCCAGATTAGAACTGTTCGTCCAGAGCCAGTGTTTGTCTTAAACTGATACATGTCGACTATATGTCCAGTCTCGTTGACTGGGTTCTTTTGTGTCATCATACCCCGACGGCGTGGATCGTTTCCATCCGATCATTTACAGGCGGCCGTCAACTAGCTGGAACAATGCTGAATGCGGGGGTTAACAACAAGAAACATAATTCTAACTCGAAGTGTTACATGCATGTCTAATACCACTACCACCATCTATTAATTTGTAATGGGGCGATATGGTAGCCTAGTGTTTAAGGCCGGGGTTTGATTCCACATATGGGTACAGCCCAGCACCCACACCGTGATATGGCTGGAATATTGAAACCCATTTTAATTTGGGAATATTTTCAGTCCAACGCATTTCATACAGTAGTCCTTTCTCTGATAAACTGTAAAGGTGATACAAGTATTTTAAACACCCTATGTTATATCCTTAGTGTTCCCTTCACTTGTTATACTGAATAATATTAACGAGTTTCATATGCAATCGTTAGATTATTACGGTACTCGTTATGTAAATTTACACGACTTTAACGTCGTCACTTGTTGAAGATGATAAAAAGTTTTGTTTGTTTTTTACCCTAGTCAATATAAATACCAGCTTTGAGTATCAAATCGAGTCCATGCCTGTCCGAATGTTGATGTCAAAAATGTCGCAGTGTAACCTGGACATTCCCAAAGCAGTGACGTTGCTCAACAATATCAGACAAGGCATCCTTCATGAGGTACGAACGGCTTTTACCCAGTTACTGGAAATGATGAATTGAACAAAATACGTAAATTGTTTGATAAATAAGGATTGAACATCATTGTATTGCACCCCTTTTCTTGTATTCAGTCCCAGAAAGTAAGTGCGAACTACATCGTTACGCGCCGACAAAGGGTACCTTGACACTCAGCTCGTTAATTCAATGTCAACTTGGCGAATATGATGAGAGTATCCTTGATATCATTGATAAATCGGTTTTCAATCGAAACAAAGTGTAGTTTTGTCCATAAGAGAAGTAAGCAACCTCCAATCTAATGATTTGCACACAAACACGAGACGGGCACTTGAAACAAGCGTGTAACAAGATGCGCTGGTGAATTTCAGTCCGCGTGAAATTAAAATGGAAGTGTTGGTCATTTTCATGACACATGTACAATACAGTGGTTTGCTATGTTATGTTCACATTAGTCTTTTGCTTATTTATTCATTAATATTGCCAAATATACCCTCATAACATTAAGAATTCCATTGATAACTTTCGCTACAATGTACATGTTGGTCCATGGGTGAGATCACTGTTGCTGAGGCGCGTGGGGTATGCCTAGTTGTCAAAGCGTTCGCTCGTCACGCGGAAGACTCCGGTTCAATTCCTGACATAGTTACACTGTTTGAATCCCATTTCTGGTGTCCCACGAAGGGATATTACTGGAATATTGCTAATAGCAAAACCTAGAGAACAAACACTCTCACTCACTTACTCATTATTGATTAAGTTCTTACAATACCAATTGTTGTGATAGATTTAGTCAGTCACATATGGAACATGTTTATTCAGTGACTAACATGTACAATGGAGATAATCGTACAAATTAATTTACTTTTTTATGTATTCAGGACGATACATTTGCCATGTCAGATAATATATTAAGTTGAAATACACTGGCTCATCTCTTGTGTTCGAAGGATGAGAGCGGTAGAATCACCAGCAACGAAAGTTAGGCCACCATACTAGGGACCATGGGGACTGACAGTACCTCTGCTACCTGCATGGTACACGATGCATATGGAAGTGTCATAGTCAGATAACATATTCCAAAGTTGGTTGCTTTGTTGTTTTACGCCGCACTCAGCAATAATCCAGCTATATGACGGCGGTCTGTTAATAATCGAGCCTGGACCAGACAATCCAGTGATTGATATCATGAGCATCGATCCACACAATTGGGATCGATGACATGCTTCCACAAAGTCAGCGAGCCTGACCACCCGATCCCGTTAGTCGCCTCTTACGACAAGCATAGTCACCTCTTACGAAATACACAAAGCTGCCTTTGCTCACATATAACTTTTGTTTGGTTCTTTTCTTGTTGAATTCTTCCAGTGATTTCTCTTTCTTTTAGTTGTTTGACACAAAAAAGATGGCCATGGAAGTATTGCAGGAGGAGTACCAGGCAAAGAAAGACAGCTGTGCCCGGAAAACTATTCCAGTAAAATCCATTGATATGCAATTCTTCGCTGTACATAATCTGTTCATGGTTGGGCCAATTCCGATGAGACTAGGTATGTATATAAATGTGTCCAATTATTACATGGGAATATGTGTAGAGCATACTTTACTCCAGGTGTAAAAGTCACAAGTACGGATAAATGGGCCTTTTGCCGTGATGATGCAGGTGACTTTCACTTATTTCACTCTCCCCCCTCCTTCCATGTCTGACCGCATGCTCACTACTTGTATCAAAGTAGGATTTCAAAGTAGATAAATTCTATAGTACCACTATCCGAAAACCAATCGCTTAGACCAGGCCCTAAGCACTCTCTTGTTGGTCGTTTGAAGTGACTAAATTGAATTGGGTGGTGAGTCTGAGTCTTGCCACCGTACCCTATTGTACATTGCCGTGAGTTAGCAGAGTAACAATATTATTTACATGTGTTTTCATGTTTACTGAACCGCAAAGTTAGATTCTCTGGATTTACTGGAGCGATGACTGTACTGATAAAGATGCTATTGTCAATAATTTCAGGGTTTGGTGCTGGTGGCTCTGTTGGAGTTGAGATTGAGCTTGGTGCTTGCTTCCTTAGCATGAGTCTGGAGGTAACAGTTTCAAATAGTTCTTAATAACTACAAATGTTTAGTGTATATCGCAATTGTCATGCTTTACATAAAGACATTCTTGGATTTGGAGACTGGAAGGTAAAGGTAACACAAAAATAATAATGATATTGTGTTAAACACCATTTATGTTTCATTTGGTTTCTTTCTCTTCATTGGCAAATTATATTATACATGCGTTGTCACAACAGAGGGTTTGTATCAATGATTTAGGCTGTATTCCATCTGAATTTTAGGCCAAGGTTACTCCTAGTGCTTCCCTGAATGTGTGGGGCAGTCTCGGGATTGACATAGGATTCGCCTATGGAGGAATTAAACTGACAGGTTACATCATGCAGACCAAGTTTCCAGTGACTGGCAGTATTAGGTTTTCGAAGTTCCCCCTGGATGTGACGTAAGATGTTGTTTGTTATTTTCCTTGAATTAGCAAAAGCTGCAAAGAGTTTGTTCAGTTAAAAAGTCCAATTATGGACTATAGTATTTGAAACCTTCTCCACATATCCAAAATCTGAATGTCAGCCTTTTCGGGAAAATTAGTCATCACAGCATGTATCACACTCCAGCGCAGTGGAGACTCAGCAGAACACCACTGCCACGGGCTAATTTGCATATCCCGTGACCGGACTTTTCTCTTGTTTGTAAACAAACGCGCTTTTTCAGAAATCAGTATAGAACGGACTAATGCAAGTATTTGGGGGCGCTCTACATATTGTTTTGCATAATTATATAGATATGCTACTACAACTGCGTCAGTGAGTTGCATGGCAATATATATTTATACATCAAAGTGACCGTATCGCTAGCTCTCCGTTGGGCTTCGATGACAGCACGTTGAGCCGTACAGCCAATGTAAACAAAGGATAACTACGCAAAAACAAGTAGATATTCACGTATTAGGATACTTTCTTAATGAAACGTAACCATTCTTTGACATTTGTTTATGAAAATGTGTAGACTTGTCAAACATGAAACGGATGAAAAGCATAAGCAAAGCATCTAGAATGGACTCAGTCTGTTAAACATGTGACGAATCGTCACATGGCGCTGGCCTGTGGCAGAGGTACTATGCTGGCTGGCTGCCGACCCGCATGGAACTCTTGGTAGGAGAGTGAGCATGTATGCATTAAGAAGGTACCACAGTGATATTCAAGGTTCAAGGTTTGTTGGTTTAGTCTTTCACGGGAAGTGTGCAGTTATTATATATATAAACTTCAATTAAACCACCCGAATTCTTGGAAATGTTCCTTCACGAAACACAGGTTAGCATTTGCTACAAGGTCTGATAAGAGTCGACATTATGTAGGTGAATTTAAAGGATTTATCTTTTCCCGGATAGTGGGTAACATGTCTCAAAAAAAATAACTTACTTCCAGCCTTAAAATGTATCCCTGAAGTCATGGAGCCAAATATATTTGGTTTCAGGAAAGCAATGACATGATTCCCAAGCTGTCCCAATTTTGTATTAGTCCTGCATACAGAAACTCTGTTACAACCAAACTCCGTATTTCACTTCATAGTCCTCCGAAATATTGATAAATCTGCTGTACAGTCTTATGCAGACTACTATTATTTCAGGGCAAGGATGGATATGGAGATGGTGCCACTGACCCTTCAACTGTCCGCATATGCAAAACTCAGACTGATATTTGTAACTGTCACAGTATATAGAGGGAATATATGGCACTATTCAACACCTACAATAAGAAAGAACATCTTCACACATCCATACAAAGGCAGTGACTCCTCACCACCAACATTTTCCAAAAACGCTGTTGGAACCAGAAACAGGAGATCTGCTGATTCTGGAGGTTGCGAAGTGAGGCAGCTTAAAGGACGGTCACCATCCGACACTGCATTTCTTCTGAAAGTTACGTCCTATGATGATGTCAGCGATGTCAAGATGGATTATGGTATAGGGACATATTCGGGTGGAACCAATGTCGTTGACTGGACCGAAATGGCTGGAAACACACTTACAATGCCTGTACAACTCTCATATGGTATACCCCTTTATTGGACCTTGAGGGCAAGAAATAGTGAGGGTGGCGAGGCGTTGACACAGTGCATGTTGCACACATATGACAACACTCCTCCAGATGGTAGGGTTGACGAAGATTTCAGGATATCAAGTAATCCATTTGAACTTGGTGGCACAGTGGTAGTTTTGGATGACAGTATAGTCGATCCTCAACAGGAAATAGCTCTTGGATTCGGCCCTGGAGCGCAGGGTTATGAGGTCATATCTTGGGGGCCAGTATCTCTCGAGAAAACAACCATGAGGTCAGAGGAAACAACGGATCTAAAATATTTCTCTCTGCCGAACACTGGAAGTTTGACTGCCAAACCACTAAAGAGTCTGACGACAGGATTTGATTATGAATGTGCGAAACAGTGCATTAGTTTTGGCCAGAATTGTGTGTCATTTGACTTTGAATACAATTTGCAAACCTGTGACCTTCATTCTGTCAGTGAAGGACCCAGTGCAGCACTCCGGCTAAATGGCAACTATAAATCCTTTGAGAGACTCGGCGTAGGTCAGAATCATTATAAGGTCTTCAAAAATCTTAACCTCACACACAAGGAGACATATTTCATGAACACCCACGTTACAAATGAGCTTGGGTATGAGAGCCATCTGTCCTCTCATGGAACGCTCATAGATCTGACACCTCCCAGTCCTGGACCTGTTGGTAACACCACGAGGGATGAAACCACATTCGATAACTGCACAGCATCCATCCTCCAACGTTGTAAGGCACTCTCAAAACTTCCTAATCACAGGTGTGTATTTGCAGGAATATGAGGTATACCTCTGGGGGCTTCCTTCACGGCAAAGACAAAACTGGTATCAGTAAGTTCATTATAACACCTGGCGGTCGGGTAGCCTAGTGGTTAAAGCGTTTGCTCATCACGCCAAAGACCCGGGTTCGATTCCTGACATGGGTACAATGTGTGAAGCACATTACTGGTGTCCCCCGCCGTGATATTGCTGGAATATTGCTATTGCGTAGAACCATACTCACTCACTCGCTCATTATAATTCCTACATTTTTAATTTCTATGATTTCATGATTGATTGTTAACCTCCATTGAACAGCCACATCAAATTGACAACATGATGTTAAAGATACCTTGATCAGGCGCTTCTAAGTGATTAAGTGAGTATTCAAGTTATATCACAGATTGTATGTGTTAGGAAATCCCGAATTGATGCTGGTCTTTGATGTTTACCACTTTCATGAAACCCAGGGGTAAGGTGCTGACAAACCTAGAAACATAAACTACGTATTTAACTTCTGATGCATTTTACTTGTTAACGTATTCAGGTTCTTTCGTTTTCTAGGAAAATAGTCGATGGAGCTGATGGTGATACTGTCTTCAATGGCAACAAGCGTCTGTTTGATGAAAAGTACACCCTCTCTAATAATCTTATCGGAGGTAAATAATTGTTTATATTTTACTGTTTGTTTACCAGCTTGACCAATGTTTATACTCTTCAAACACATTCCGTATGTAATACTTTTTCCATGAATCTTATCGTGCGAGTTAGGACTAGTGCACACAGAAATAAATACTTGCAAGATGTTTACTTACTGCTGTACATGGTCTTGTTGGTACAGAATGTGGTAGTTTCTGACATATGTATGGTGCCCCGGACTTTGCTGAAATATTGTGTCCGGATATTGCTAAAAGTGGCACAGAACAATACTTACACACTCTTGTTGGTGCTCATATACATTTCATGTCAAACAGGGAACTGGCATGGCTTTCATGACAACGAGACTGGCATCTATGGTTACACTTGGGCTGCTGGTACATCTGTATGTTCAAACGATGTGGTGGACTACAACGACCCTCATGCTGGAATACCAAGCAGGGATGAGTGGACCTACAGCGGCTTGACCTCAGGCCTTCATCTCTCTGATGGGCCCCATTACGTCACAGTTCAAGCTGTCAACAACATCATACATGGCGGGGCTCTTGTCACGACAGTGTGCCACTCAACACCCATCATAGTCGACACGACACCGCCCATCTTCAATGGCATTAATGAAGTATTCTTTGATGGCGATTTTGAGCTACTTGGACTGTACTACAATGGATCTGATCCTCTATCAAAAATTGCCCATGTTCACGTTGGGCTTGGATTAACACAGAATGATGTCAGCCTGCGACCCTATGAAGAATATAAAAGCTATGCTAACCCAAAAGAATATGTGTTAGTGGAAGATTGTGTCCTGAAACCTGGAGTTGCTACCTGGCCAAGAATCCGACTTACCAACAACGGTTTGTAGACCAAGTATCATACTGCGTTTCCAAAGATATTGTGGTAAACATTATAGGGGTGTATTTTTTAATTTATTTGAACTGTAGTTATACTATAAAACGCTCTTCAGACATATGTAAGACTATCCCTGCTTAGTCAGTTGTAAAGAAACTGTAGTAAAGAGTACAGAGCAGCCTTGAATGATAGTGAAGTAAAATAAACGTGTAATGAACACGTACGTAACTAATATTAGCTGTCCATTCTTCCCTGGGCGGGATTCTAGATAGACTTTGTCCCCAGCAGCCTTTGCTCGTCGTAAGAGGCAACCAATTGGATCGGGTTGTCCGCCTGGTTGATTTTTGTCTGATAGCATGGCATCGTACGAGACAGCATGGCTCATTTTCATAGCTTCAATAAATGAATTGTATGTCGAAAATATTTACTGGCCTCCATCTGAACTATGACAAGGTTGGGAGAATCTCATTAAATATCCATAGCCACTTTTCCATGTTCAACTTTGTCGTACCCAATGTTTATTCTTGCACACTGTGATTCACTCCTTTTTGTGTGTTAAAGTGGGGCTTTCTACAAGTGGTCATGCCAATGAACCCCTCGTTGTTGACAACACGCCTCCAGTAGCGGGCCTAATCAGAGATGGGGGAATGGTCAGCATAGATATGGACTACCAGGCAAAGGCGAATACTATTTGTGCACAGTGGGAAAATTTCTACGACCCGGAGTCAGGAATTAAGGAGCAAGTTTATATAAAATTGTTTTTAATTTGTAATAATACAAGGTTTAATAACTGTTTGATTGGCATCCTAGAAGTTGGTGAGTAAGTAACGAAATGTTCAACTTTATGCATAATAACTTCTTATATATTGCATATATCGACGTTTCGATGTAGATTCTTACACCGTTATCTAGCTGGAAGAATCTTCATTAAAACGTTGCTGAATGCAATAAATGTTGTTTTTGTTCATGTTTTTTAAATAGTTACCATAATTACATTTAACTTATGTGTGGTTTTCTATCTATACATATTTTTCCTTGGTATTTGTCCCTACTAATACCAAGGAAAAATATTTTCAAGCAAGATCCTGCTGCTAAAATGTTTCATTTAATACAATGTCCCTTGGTGTTCAAGCTGCTGATATGCTGTAACAGATGTGAACTTATATTTGAGTTCAGGTACATGTGGGGCGTTGGTACCAAGCCTGGCACAGACAACATTGTCAAGTTCAAAGTGGAGGACCGGATAATCCATGATGACTGCACCAATGTCTCTCTGACTCATAACACGACATATTACTCCACCATCATCGCATTTAATGGGGCCTTGAACATGATGAGAGTCAACTCTACTTCTAATGGAGGTATTAGAATAAATATGACAAAAATGAGTTTTAAGGGTTATGAAAGTATAAATATCGAGGGGTTAGTGCAACAACCACCTATTTCCTTTCTTTATTCCATAATTCCTTTATTCTGTACTGCAGAGAAAACAAGTTCAGCAGTTAATAAAGTATGTCCTAGCTTGTTCTCATATGAAAACTCTAAGCCCAGTTTGGTAATTCTCCCAGATGTTCAGGCACTAACCCCTCGATATCTATGATTCTGTGAAAAAGAAAGAATGTTATGTTTAATCAAACATACTTTTTAAATGTTAAATCCTACTATTCTGTTACACAGTCCTGGTGGATACCACGGACCCAGTAAAAGGCTGGATCACAGATGGAGACAATAAAACACAGGATGTCACTTACACCTCAGAACAAGCTCTGATTCAGGCTGTTTGGGGAGGCTTCTCTGATGCTGAGAGTGGGATTGTAAAGTATGAAGTGGACATATATACCAACAATCAACATAGGAAAACAAACATCATCTTGCCTAATCAGAATGGCCAGTTGAACTACTTGAACGAGAAAACGCTGGAACTAAAGCAAGGCGATGTTGTATATACAAAAGTCAGGGTCTTCAATGGAGCAGGGAGGAATGTGGAAGCCTCAACCAATGGCTTCACAGTGGATCTGACACCGCCAGTTGCATACTTTGTTCACGACCATGATGGGCAACAAGCGTTCCAGTTAGATAACACAGGACTTCATCTATCATGGAAGTTTGAGGACGCTGAATCTGGCATCGAGAAGTATATGATATCAGTTTCTGAGGACTTAAATGGCATCATGAGGAGAATATGGCCCTCGCCATATGATTCCCAGAAGACAAAGGACGTACCAGCCACAACGATGTCCTACCATGTACCTGTTCCTCTTCAGGATGGTAAACGCTACGTTGCCAGAGTTATAGCTGTCAATAAAGCCAAGCTGTCCAAAACAGTTGATTCTCCTGGCATTACAATAGACTCAACTCCACCAAAGATAAAACAGGTTAATGTTCTATATTTCAATTACCATGAACGATTACACTCATGTCAATGTTTGTTATGGGCAAATGCATTGACCCACTTTCATTTTTAAATCTTTTCTTTGAATGAATTTCATGGTTCCAAATGGTATACTAATCATCTTCATTTTTCCAGATTCACCTTGGACCAATGAAAGAAGATGAGGAAATTGAGAATCAAGCCCTCATCCACACAGATCATTCCAAAATGACAATCTCCTGGAGAGCGGTTGATCCTGAGAGTGGTATAAGTCAAGTTTATGTTGCTGTGGGAACCTCCAAACATGATCAGTCCATAACCAAAGGGTTCCTCACTTTCACACAGACAAGTGAAGTGACACTGAAACATCTAAACCTTATTGATTTTCAAACAGGTGGAAACTATTACTACTTCCAGATTAAAGTCAAGAACGGTGCAGGTGTAGAATCCCCAGTAAGCGTTTCAATGCGTATAAATGTCCTACCTGGAAATGTCCCAGGGGTGATATATGATGGAAGGAAACGTTTCATTGATGCAGACTACCTGCATGATAAATCAACCTTTGCGATGTCATTTGCTGGTTTCAAAAGTATTGCCTGTGGTATTGTTGCCTATGAGTGGGGCATTGGGACTGAGCCTTATGTGACAGATATTGTGCCATTCACTGGCTTTGGCATTGTCAAGACGAATGAATCATCAGGCTTTGGACAAATTGACATCCAACTCTTTGAAGGTGTTAAGTACTTCACAACAGTTCGAGCAAGAACTGGACACAGTTGTCATGAAGAACACATAGTTTCAACATCTGATGGTATCATGGTGGACACAGAGGGACCTATAATCAAGGCGTCCAACAGAAAAGGACATACAATCCCAGATGTTAAGTCCTGGGGAGTTGTGTTCCAGACTGACACCGACATAGTTGAAGTCATTCCTGATATCACTGATCCCTCTGGAGTGAATGTAAGCCATGTATGCTTAGGTTCCTACCCATATGAGGATGACATCCAAAAATGCAGTATTCAGAATGAAAAGAGCGTCAAGGGACTACATCTGCAGCCAGGATCATCAGTATTCATAACAATCGAAGCCAAAGACAATGCTGACAACAGTGCTGCATGGGAGTCTGTTGCCTTGATTCCTGATTCCACTCCACCCGAACTGGTTAACTTCACATGTACAAAGGAAATTTCCAGCATGAGGACTGGAATAGCTTGTGTTTGGGATGAAGCAAGGGAACATGAGAGTCACATAGAATACATCAGTATCTGCCTTGGTGTGGCTGATAATCCATGTTCACTGTCTTCTTTTGAAAACATAACGCTCCAAAAGAGATCATGGAAAACTGACATCTTTAGAGTCATCGACGGAATTCATGATGATAATATTTTTGTCACAGCGCACCTTGAAAATGTCATGAAAAAGAGGACCGTATTGACCAGGGAGGTCTTCATTGACACTACAGTTCCTACGGCTGGTAATGTCTTGATTGTTACTGATGACATGCTACACATAAATAGGACAGTGTCAAGTATGCAGTGTCAAGTTCCAAACTCATTTGTTGAAGTCATGATCATGGGATTTAAAGATGAGGAAACAGGCATTGTCAGGTAAAACGATATAAGAATAATATACTTTGCTTAACTAAACCTACGAGCTGAAACTTAACCATCAATGCATTATTTGTTTTTGTGATATGTTATATCATATTAATTATTGTCTCTTATCTTTAATATTATAGGTGTAATGTGTTATGTTTGTGAGTTATAATATCTGATATTTCATTTTAGATGTGAAGTTGGTCTTGGTCGACAGCCTGGGTCAACAGATATTCATGGAATGATGGAAGCTTTGCAAGGAACCATTATTTTCATTGGAGGACTGTCTCTACAAAAAGAAGATAAAGTTTTTGCCACTGCAAAATGTTCGAATAGGGCTGGTCTCTCAGCATCTGCAACATCTCAAGCAATAGTAATAAGCCCATTCCCACACCTAGCAGTAACAGATGAAACTTTCCAGGCAGATCTAACCACGATAGAAGGCCACTGGCATTACACAAGTGGTTGTCCTGTGGTTAAGGCTGAGTGGCAGATTATGACAATCAGCTGGACTGTATTCCAAGACTTCATACCAATACCAGCATCTCATGGCACTTTCTACAATGACGAACTCCATCTCACAGCAGGATTTACTTACATCAACGTGATTCGTGTAACCGATGCCATAGGAAGAATTCACGTCGGATATTCAAATGGTGTGACTGTTCTCGTAGAGCCACCACACCCAGGGGCCGTCAGGGATGGGGTGGATAAAGATACAGATTACCAGACGTCTACAGTTGAACTGTCAGCCAACTGGGATGCGTTTGGTAAACCAGATAGTAAAGATGCCACACAGCAGATCGATCGATATGAAGTTGCAATAGGTGACGATGTCAAGGACCCAGCCTCGCGCTACAACGTCCATTTCTTTGAAACTGCCCACCTCCATACTTCGTACACATTCAGAAATCTGAAACTGAAAGCTAAGTTGACATATTACGTAACAGTACGTGCATACAGCAAGGCTGGGAGTTTTGAAGAAGCATACTCAGATGGAATTAAGGTTGGATTTGATTTGGACATATCCCCTGGGAGCATTGACTTAAGCAAGTTCAGTGATAGTGGTAATGATCTAAAGGTCTCATGGACTGGATTCTACTCAGATATTGGACTCACAGAATACACTGTTGGAGTCAGCAAGGATAGTATTACCCTTCCGGTTAATACTACTAATTGTAAGTCACTGTTGTCAGCTATTTCTCACTATCATGTAACGTTTACATCTACTACTGGATATGACACTGTGGTCCATTTGAAAAATCTTACACTTCAACAAGGTCACTCTTATTATGTGACAGTCATTGCTCATGACACGGTTGATTCATGCATTGGGGTGTCTGAAGGTCCTGTGACCATTGATACAACTCCACCTACACAAGGTCACATTTCTGTAAGAGGAGGTCAGATGTCACGGGTTGTGTACATCAGCAGCAGAGACGAGATTACCCTTCACTGGAATGGCTTTGATGACAGCGAAAGTGGTATTCAAAGATACCACTTACAGCTCTACTCAGAACAGCCTTGTATGCACCAACACAAGAAACTGGTGAAAGTAATGGATGTCTACAATAACACGCATATTACTCTGTACAGTTTGAATCTAACTGTTTCCCTGATGTATACGTTCACAATATCTGCCATCAATGGAGCTGGTCTGAATACTACAGCTGCAACACTGCCTATCCTCATCGATGTCTCAAGGCCGCAAGCAGGAACTGTGAAAGTTGGTAGAGACTGGCACACATCAAGAACCTTCCAAAATGAACATGATATTGTTGTTGTTCAAACAGCACTCGCAAGAAACAAGAAAGCTTCAGAATGCAAACGGAGTAAGGAAATATTCCCCAAATCTGTAAGTAAAGAACACTGGCAAACCCTTGTCAGGTCGGACATATCTCCTTCTTCTGCTCTTATTGATCAGTTTGCAAGAGTTGCCCTCACGTATGATGAGAACTTGCAAGATATCATACGTGGTGGTGTTTTCCTTAATCTTGAGGACTCTCTGTCGGAGGGAAACTATACATTCATGTTAGTAAGTGCCAAGGGACAGAACATCATCACCTCCATACACATGGATTTCTCTGACATTACAACATATCAAACCCCAGTTCTGATGGAAATACCAAAATTTGATGATAACGATATGCCTGAAGAAACCAATGCAACTTCCAATGAAACTGAAGAAATAGTTCAATGCCTCTCATCACCAGGAGTTGCAGTCTTCTTCTATGGCTATGATGATGATACCCATGCTTGGAAAGGACGAATCTGTTTAAGAGATGATACTAAAGAAACAGAATCATGGTTTGACTTACCTGAAGATCCGTCAGACTATGTTTATGAAATCTGCCTCGGATTCAAGAAGGATTATGACAATGTGAAAATCACATGGCGGACAACCCTTTTCTTTGAAGGTCATCGCATAGCAGATATTGCGGGATTTGCATTTTCTGGAAAACCAAGCATCATCTACCGTGTACATAATCTGAATGATTACAAACCTCCAGTACGGGATCCTCTTCATCCATTCTTTTCTCAAGCTCTGATAAGTTACGTTTCTGTACCTGATACAGCTGATAAAGAATGTTTACATGGCAAACCGTTCTTTGATGGAGAAAGCGGAATAAAAGAATTATGGATGGGAGTTGGAACAAATGAATCTTTTGTAGACAATGTGGTCCCATTTAAGCTTGAATCAACATTTTGTCTACCTTGTAATGATAGATGTATGGAAGTATGTGATCCCAATTGCTCTGTTTCAAATCTTGACAAACTGTCTGTTCTGTCACTTGAACTGCAACATCTCGCCCTAGAACACAGTGAAAAGTTATCTGGGAACACAAATACTAACTCTTCAAAGCTGATGGAGTACAACGCTCCGACATACTTTGTCAGTGTTAAGGCTGTGAACTTTGCAGATCAATCAACGGTTGTGATGTCAAATGCTTTCCAAGTTGACATCACGCCACCAAAATTCCAGTACATGATGTGTGTTGATCCTCAACACTCTCTGGACGAACCGATTGACTTCATAGGCTCTAATAACAGTGTTGGGGCGTTCTGGGAGTGCAGTGAAGATGTCAGTGAGATAGCTGAATACACACTTCAGATTGGCAGAACAAAAGGAGGTCACGATGTTTTGAATGCAACCTCTGTTGGGTTAAAGAGAAAGGTTGGTTTGACACTGGAGCATGCGACCATGGACGATGGCAAAACCTACTATGTCACTGTGACAGCTATAAATTCAGCAGGATTATCTACCAAGATGGGATGCAATGTGACGGTAATGATGGGGGCACCTGCTGTTTCTAGTGTCTACACACAAAGTCTCTTCACCTCAGGGTACACAATGCATGCTGTGGCACTGACACCATCACAACACAGAATCGGTATCCATGTACATGCTGGATCTGGCACCCTTTACTATGGTGAGATTTTATATTTAACCTGTCTTAATTTTATCAGGCACTGTTATAAATCAAACTTGGGTTTTCAGAGCAAACTGAAGATTTTAGGTAATTATTTTTATTTATTTAAATGATTGAATCATTATTAGAAAAACATAGAAGAGAGCAACATAATGGTTTATACTTCATTGCAAATTGTGTTGCTGTTTTAGAATGGACTATTGGCACTGTCCCCGCAACTGATGACGTCTTCCCAATCATCAAAGTGGCACCGCCAGCAGATTCTAAAATATCTATTGAACAAGGACATCTGTTGATCGATGGAAAAAATACAAACATATCTCTAAGTGACTACAATACTAACGACACAGATAGCAATACCTCCAAAGCAGATGGGTCCTTCCTGATGCTGGAGCCAGGCAGGTGCTACTATCACAGTCTTCATGCTGTGGGGCGTTCCCATGTTGCGGTTGCTGTACCCACCCTACCAGTCTGCGTAAAACGTAAGTATTTCAGAATATTGATACTTTGATAACATTCTGAAAATGGGCGAGTATTAAACCCGGTGGTCGAAATGCAGTTTGTTCGATTCCCTGGTCGACTCGTAAGCAAACGATGTTAAATGATGGCATGTGTTGTTACTCTGCTTGGCGCTTTGCATATTGGGGTAAAACAAAGACTGACTGATACTGAGATGGTATATGCTGATGCGTGGTACCTCAATGGTTTAGCACTGTGAAAACAACATTCATCTGTGCTAGAACAAAAAGCAACAGAAACACAGGTTCATACACGTAAACTTATGAGTAAAATAATTGTGATCCTAAAAGTTAAACCCCGACTCAGCTTTTTCTACCATGCAATGTGTCTCCCAAATAAAAAAGGATAATCACCATAGTTCAATTTTTTTACAATCCTCATACGTTTTACGGAAGTTAGTTGACGTCAAACGTCTTTCATGAGGTCACAGCACAATTGTATCTTAGCACCAATGAGGTCCCTCTTCTCCTGGCGGGTCACATATTTTCATCTATAGAAAACGGTTCAACTTCATACCTGATGTTCAACTGGGGAATGGTTTCAATATATTATTGGATTACGTATTAGGTCCCGGAAAACGATAACTTGAACACATCAACCAAGTTTCATGAAACCGTAAAGTCAACACATGCCATTTTTAATTGTTATGTCATATTTATGATATGACTGTTATATAATTTCATTCAAAACTTCGATGCAAAACATAGTCACTTTGATGCAATTTCATAATACGTTGTGATCATTTCAGTTGCAACGTCAAGACTGAAAGACTGATGACTATCATGTTCAGACTGTATTTAACACATGGTACAAAGTATTATCATATTTATTTGCAATTTTGAACTTGAAGTTCAAGGTCAAGTGTACATGACTTTCCGTTTCAGAGGTCAGAGATGGCAATGTGTACCTCAAGTGTTCTCATTGAATGGTGATCTGATGTAATTAAACAAGAAGTGCTTAAAACTTTGTTACTGAGGGGGGGGGGGGGGGGGGTGATGTATGATGTGGCCCAAGACTTGCAATCAAGTAGTGTTTATAGTTTTTGTATGAACATCATTGACGTGTTCAACATTTATGAGCATTAGACCAATGGCATGTTTGTATATTTCCATAAGTTCGGGAATAAAATAACAGTTGTATGATTGATTATATTTTCATTTTCATTTCAGGAAATGCTGATACTCTGGTAGAATTTGATGAGAAGAATATCGTTAAAAAAACACTGGTCATTAAAACATTGGGCAATCACAATGAGACCCTGACCCTGTCCTTTAAAGGTAGTTATTTAACAGTATACATGTTATTCGTGGTTTTTAGATATTGTTTCTGCTAAATGTGAAGTGAAGGCATAATATTTACTGTATCTGCATATACCCTTGTGTTTTGCATTATGTTATTGCATTGGTTTTCCATGGTCATAGATATATACTACAGAAAGGAAATGAAGTGTTAAATGGACTTTCCTCAGTCGTTTAACTCCGCAATTCTATCAACTGATATGTTATGGGTCATTTACATAGGCTACAATGGAAGTCTCCTGATTGGTGCCTTAAACACAACCGACCTCTCGAAGATCTATGGAAGTGCAGCATCAGCTGAATATGTCCCTTACATTCATGATCCGGAAGAGTCTTTGCAATCTACAACAAGACTTTTATATGGGAGGTAAAAACCTGTAGTTGTATAAATGAGGCGCCTTGCCACAGAACTGTATCTTATATTTAAACAAACCTATCAAGCAGCTCGTGTTCTAGTTTAGTTATCAATGGTAATAACTAAGTCTCTATGTTGCTACAGACTGATAAAGCCAGTTGGACTGTCATTCTATATGACGCCAGCCAATGAGGCGTTGGTGGAAACGGTGCTGAACATAAGCGCTCATGGAATTACTCCTACAGATGACAACAAGTTCATTTCACTGTTGTCATGGAATAAAGGTTTGATTTTGTTACAAGGAACACATTTCCACAAATATTGATTCTACCATTTTACCATATTATCAAACAGTATTAATGAAAATAAATAACTCTGTTTGCTACTCTGTATATCGTACATCGTATTAACAAACCAGTTGAAACGGCATTTCATGAAACGATAGTAATATGTAAAAATGTTTGATGTATTTGTATATGTCTACAGGTATGCAAAGGTGGCAGTTCACTGACCGTTGTTCAAAGACACTACCAACCAATATTGCGAATGGAAAGGTAAATGATCAGTATTCATTTTTATATCTTGGGAAACGTGGTTGATATGTCTATGGGATACACATATTTACAAATAAAGCTAATATCTTTGGGGTTTTTTCAGCTCTGCCTTAATGGTTACAGTCAAGTCATACAAGGAACCAAATATATTAGATTGAAAGAACCCCTTCTGCTGAGTCTGTTTGAAATCGACAAAACAATTCACAATACACCACCAGTAGTCATGACGAAGGCCATATCAGCTATTGAAGACCAGCAACTGATAGAATATATTGAGGTCACAGACAAAGAGGGTGATCTTATTTCCTTTTCCATCAAGAGCCAAGTGAAACATGGGAATGCATCTATTACCACTGATGGCTACCTAATGTATACCCCAGAACAAAACTATTGTGGAGACGACTCAGTTACAATAGAAGCAAAAGAACAGACTATTGCCCAGCCGCACAATGCACTCCAGGTTATTCACATCCAGGTCACCTGTCGGGACGACCCACCAGAGCTGAGCTTCGTCACTGTTAATAATGACATTTCTGATGCAGAAACTATCGATATTGAAGTCTTGTCGTCTGCAAAAATCGCCTCCAGAACTCTCCTTGGGACCTTTGTTCTCGTTGATCCTGACATGGTTAAACTTGACCTTGTGTATGATTCCAAAGTGGCAAAGGAGATCAACCTTGAGCTGAAAGAATTGGCCAAGCCCAGTGACCATAAAGCGGGGACTGAGTTAAAGTATAACGTGACGATCGTGAATTCTCCAAATGCACAACACACGAAAACCATCAACTTCCGAGCTAAATACAACATGGTTTACAGTAATATGATATCCTTAAACATATCTGTTGTGAACAGTTCATGTCAAGGCTCAGGATGTCATGTAATCAAAACACAGACTCCAAAAGATGACAAAGGTGAGTGATGGTCATATAAAACAGATTACATGTCGCCCTCCTTGCCATACGTGACGCAATACTTGTTGATACTGAGCGATCGATCATTTGATTCTGGAAGGTGTGTGTGTGTGTGTGTGTGTGTGTACACGGTCACTAATCAGGTCTTTGAAAGGGATTTAGAAGTGACACACATAAGGAACATAATTAATGGATGTCAACAACTTTATTATAAGGAACACAACGTTTCGGAGTATATGCTTATCCTTCATCAGGTGAATGAATGCCATGCGGCAGAGAGCATATATATGTACATGTAAAGAAAAAAACCCAATAAGATAACAAAAGAGGGAAATACAAAGGGTATAAAACTAACAAGGGAAGCCAAAAGAGGATTGGCGCTGATAGGTGATTAGCATTAGACAATGGTGATTAGCAATAGACAATGGTCCTGAATGTCTCTTATGTTATGAAATCCCTTCATGCTGTTGTAGATGCTTCTGCAGATGAAGAGTTCAAGGGCCACCATGACCACGACACGATGTTTGCCCCTCCAGAGCAGTTGTTCAGAAACGACGTAAGTTGTAACTTATTTGAACATCGTCATAAATATTTGAATTTTAACTAATACATCTGAGTTAAGAATGTCATTTTAAAATATTTCTGATCCTTCAAAAGCTCTCCCTTGCATCTTACTTTAAAAGTTGCGTTTATTCTAGTATACTCGTATTCAACATGGGTCTCTGCTCATGGGGTTAAGGTTTCAAATCAACAAAAATACACATAACACCTTATATATATGTAAATAATTATCGGGCAATGAATTTACACAGTTCCTTGGTGAAGGATCTATCAACGCCTCAGGCTTGGAGGGGAGGAGAATATCTCTCAGTAGAGAGGGGATCTTCTCTCTTACTTTGCAAAATGCTGAGGCCACTGAAGAGTACATGATCTTGACAGCAGCAGGTTTGAAAACTGACTAATGTGGGGTAGTGTTGTAGTCAAAGTTGGCAATACTCTATTGATGACATGGCCAGTGTGCATACTTGCAGCTTAACATGTTCAGTCTAATTTTTGGACAATGCGTCTTCGTGCCTAGTGTAATTTTATAAGAATATATCAATCATGACAACGTCCAAATTAACATTCTTTGTTTTGTAAGCACCATAATACGTGCCAGTGTAGTAAACATAAGACTTCATAACTTTGGCTTGCCTCCAACTGGCTCCATGATGTTACTGAAATACTATTAAACCAAACTCACCCACTTCCTTATCTGGTTTCTTTCAGGGAAATTACATATTTCTGCAAGTGAACCGATGACTGCTTTTGAACAGAAAAAATTGCTATCTGACAGGCGATACAGAGGGAGGTTGGTAAATGCGTTGTCAATACAACTTTGTATTGATGATTGTCGATGTTACTGTTAACCTTGTAAACTCAAACTCCATGATTTTGATCGTTCATTTAAGCAAATAAATATTGCAAGTCAATCCGTGGCGTTTGATCGACTGACCAAGCATTTGTTATACAAAGTCCGCATATCAGATTTGACGTTTATACAACCATAAAAAGCCAAACATATTGTCAATTCTTAAATATATTGGAGAGTACTTGGGAGTATAAAAGGTTTCACTTTTTTCATTTGAGAAATTGAAGTGCAAACATTTGGATCATATCAGGTCCTACTGTTGGCGGATAACTGACCATATTACACAGTTTGAATGAGCAGTTTATAAATGCAATGTTGGTTGCAATTTTATTCAGCGAAAACACCAGTAGACATTTGCAAGGTGTTCATTATTCATTCATTGTGTTACAGGTTGGTGGAACAACTCGGCCAACCTATATCTATCAGTGTTAAACCGCAAGACCTCAAAGGAATGCATGTTGACATTAAAGTGAAATCAGTTCACGACAACAACACAAGCATCAAACTGTTTTATAATGACAGCCGTAAGTCCATTTCTTATAACGTGAAACGTTCTTACTTCGGCCACTCAACTCAATCACACATTTTGATAACATAATATAACAATCATGACAATGTATGATCTTAACACGAGTTACCTGGCCCCAGCACCTGTTGTTGGGGAGTGACGTATTGCAGCGAAAAAAAAGACTGTCCGTCTTGGAAGTACTTCATCAATTTGGCTACAGAGTCTTGAAAATATCCTAAAACAATTTGATTTATTCAGTTCCCCTACATCCTGCTTTTTGCCTGTTCCACAGATGGGGCATGGCACGAGTTGCCGGATATTTGTAACAAAACTAAGACACTTGTAATGAGTGATGACCAGCACATCGTACCTGTAAGTATATATCCTTTCCCGCTGTTTGACGAGTTTCTATAGAAGCCGAAGTACATGCATATGTAACTGGTTGTGCATCAACATTGATATTGATACCTACCTTATGTGTATATGAAGCGTTAGAAGAGGGCTGTCCGATTTTGATAACTGACATTGTGTCCGAGTGTTAACAAGTTGAACGCAGGTGACACAATGTGAAGTTTGACCATTAAGAAATCTTTTCGCAAGTTTTAGCTTTGATTTCATAAAACGGTATTATGCACAAGCTCTGATAAAGTCATTGCAGCCCTGGTATGTTGCCATCTGTAACGTCAGGGTATCAGCAGCCGTCCTTGTTTCAGACAGCTATACAGCTATCATGTCATATTAACAATTTACGTAATTTACGGATTAAACTGCCGGGCAAAACAAAGGAGAGGCAAACAAACCCCAGGCATATTGCCAGAAACATCGTCAGACTTTTAGAACGTTAATAACAGACTGGTAGAACACAGAACATGGCAAGAACGCGTGACGAAGCCACGGAATGACAGGTACTTGCGCACTTTGCATTTGCGTAACAGGGTGGTCCAAGCGACTGAAATGGCAACAAAAGCGATTGGACGCCGCATCAGTCGACGGTCTGTGGTTCGACGCTAATGCGTTTTAATATACCGCCCCTTCCATAAACGAGGTTGACCTCAACGTGAAAGACTGTCAAAGTAGTACAACGCTCAAAGAAGGTGCTTTATACTGACGAAAGCAGATTCTGCTTATATTAATACACAATGAGGGTCATGCATGGGTTTATTGTCGTAGAGGGTAAGCATCCATGGTGACGATATGATGATGGTTTGAGAAGGATTTTGTGGCAACCTTGTAATCATCAATCAAAGGCCAGACAACCCTTGGTTTTAACATTTCATATAACAGGGAACATTCTTATAGCACGACAGCGTTAGGCCGCTCACAGCAAGGGTCGTCCAGAATCTTGGCGGCGAACAACGTCGTCCTTCCTACATGGCCAGTTCGATCACCAGACTTTAACCCCTTTGAACACTAGTGGGATTATCTGGAACGTCCGATCAGGAGGCGTCCTCTCCCAGAACAGAACAGCTGGAGGTCGTACTGAGGAACAAATGGCAAAGGGCTCCCAATGACGTTATCGGGCGCCTGACGTATGATAAGGCGATGTAGTTGAGCGTACTTTGCGCTCGTGGTGGTCATATTCGCCACTGAGAAAGTCTGGTATCTGTGACACAACTTAAACCGATCAAGACAATATCTGCTTCATTCTGTTTATTACTGTGTGCTGTGACATTGCCACCCCCATGTTCCTTGAAGCGTCAGTGCATCTGTTGTAAGGTACTCATTGACATGATGCGTGTACTATTTCCTGTGATACCCATATGAAATACATCAACCACCGAACAATTATTTCTTGTTCGTTTCCATCTTAGCCACCATTAATGATTGGTTTATATTTGCACGTCAGTTTATTAGGGTTATATGGCCAATGTTGGCACGACTTAACTCCAATTATGTTTTCTTATCATTTATACGTATTTATACAATGGTGTATTGTTCCATTTCAGATATGTCCAGATCTATTAAGGAAAATGACTCTTACCCAAAGCAACCGTGGTGACCTGTCGCCAAAATTGGTTATGGTCGCAATGAAAAATAATCCAGTGAACACCCCACCCTTTTTAGAGGATGAGGTGATTTACACTCAGGAGGGTCATACGCTTAACCACCAGATCAAGGCAAAAGATGCTGAAGGCGATAAATTTACATTCCATCTGGGTGATACCAAACTTACACATGGCACTGCTCACCTAGTTGCTACAGGCGCCCTGCAATATACACCAGGGCCCCACTTTAGTGGAGTTGATCACATTGAGGTTGAGCTTGTGGAAGTCGGTGTAAAAGGGTTCACGCCAAATTCTCAGAAATATACACTCACCATCATTGTGACATCGGTGAACGACCCGCCTATCCTCTACTACCTTCCCCCAGACAGCGATATGTTCCGTGTAGAGAATAATGACCACGTGGAACTCGACATTACAAGACCAATGCCGTACCAGACAGCAGTTGTTGATCTCGGCTACGTCGTCGCAGCTTCCTGGAATGCGGCTGACGACATAGGATTCGAGCTGATGCCCCTCAATACATCACTTCATTTCTTTGATGCTAAACCAGCGGCGTTACCAGATTCGACTTGGAGCACTAAATTCGCTGAAATCAGAGAAATTCCACAGAAGAAGGTCTCCAAAATCACCATGCACTTCCTGTCAGAGTTCAAAGGTACCCTGATGTACAAGGTCAAGGTCAAGGACAAGACTACAGGAGTTGTTGAAGTGGTTCTGAATACCAGGGTTTCTTACAAATTCTGTCAGCATGAAACTGTTTGCGTTGATCATGTCAGCGCCAAGAAACTGCCCGCCTTGGACAAAGAACGCCATGCCTAGAGTACATATGCTTATGGCTACAATTTCCATGTAAACGTTAATTGTAAGAGTATCTGTACACTTAACGCGGAACTTTTATGTGATGATATTTGTAATACTGAAATGATTTCAAGATTGATGTGCAAGATGTATTGTGTGATACTGATCACTCCAAGGCTTAGAGCGTTACGGAATTCGTGCATGTGCTAACATGTTACATTTTGTATGCGCTTTTTTATGAAGAGTGATATGTATTCAAATATCGAAGTGCAACTATTTTGCAAGGAAGATGATGAATGAACAGATGTAAATGTCAATTAGTATACAGACTGGAGGTAAATCAATAATGCGAATAAAAGCTTTGTCTGCATCTAAAAGGTTTTTTTTAGTTTGTGCTTGTATTTATAGATTTCATGGGTATAACAGTTGTTATACCCCTATTATTGGTTTGAATGTTTTGCAGGCAATATATGCAATCTTTCTCAATGATCCAGAGAACTTTGTGTTGCTCGGATGGCACATGTATACTACTCGATCTACATCTCAAGATGTGAACATGTTATATTGTTGTTTAACGCCACACTCGGTCTTCCAGCTATATAGCGGTGGACTACATGACTCTTGACCATGCAATGCAGTGATTGATATTGTGAACACAGATCCATACCATCGGGACACGATGACACGCAAACAACACCACGTTGATGAGCGAGACCACGCGATTCATTTGGTCACCCCTTACGACAAGCAAAGGCTGCAGGGAAGAAAACGTTAAAGCTTATTGTAGTGAGTGAGTTTAGTTTAACGCCGCTTTGAACCATTGTCAGTTAGATGATGGCGGGTCAGCTGGATGTGGGAGGAGAGTCCGGATTGATGCATGCTTTGAGGTTAACCACTTTGGGCGAAAACCGCTTACAAATCACAAACAATAATTGAATAATTTGCAGTAAAAAAGAAACACACAAGATCTGCGAGCGGTAGTATCAGTTAACATGACATCTAAGACTTCTAATTAAGGCCATATGCAAAACATTTGTCCCGATAGAAACCACATTTCACGTATTTTCAATAAACGGATGTAAATACAGTGTTCTGAACAGTATTATGTGAAAGGCCCTACCTGATATGACTCGAGTAACTTTGTTTTATGTTCTGTTCGGGGCAGACAAACCGCAACTGACACTCTAAATCAATAAAAAGCCACAGATTTTACAAATATTTGTGCTGAACACTTTTTAACAGAATATAGTTCTGATATCGTAGCCGCCATTTCCTTAGACGTCTTCTGATCTATTAAAAAAAGTTGCAGTAAATAAAATATAACAACTTATGTATACGTTAGTTTGCTTGCACAACACTATTTCACTATTAAACACTTGGGATTCGAACCCAATGACCCTGCAAGTACAAGCAGATTACCAGATGCCAGTTGAACAAATTACGGGAAATACACACACGAATAATTAAAGTTTATGCCTTGTAAATTCGAATTGCGACGATACATGAGTCACCCCCTTAGTAATTATCTGTTCCCAAATGCAGCATACCAAACTTTGACTTCAGTGTATCGTAACGGATGCAGACAGAAATGCGTCACACTTTCCATGTATTGGTCTGAAAACAAAGTACATTGTCATCAGCTCATTCAGATAACCGTACATAAGAACGTCCTGTATTCTTATCCTGTTTTATGTATTAACCAATTAAACTGGTTGTGATAATATTATAAACGAAGGCATAAAAAATGTTTTTCACGTGCACAACGTGTATTACCGAGGTACGCACCACGCTTGGTTTCGAACCTCCGTCAGAAATATATAAATATTCTGTTCAAATCGACACTATCTTTTGAAATGCTATTGAAATTTCATTATTACGGCGTTTTTGTCTTATAACAACCCTATTCTTGAAACTAATCAACTTATTTTGTCGGTGTTCACAGATTATATGGATTATTTCATGATATATCATTGTCTATATTGGTTTCTAACTGCGTAACCTGTACAGCTTTCTCAACACTTTGTTTTCTTTAAACGAATCTACTATTTCCAATAGTTTCTCTGATGTACGTGTGATCACACTTCCTGATATTTTCTCTCACCTGACCTGTCAAGTATACTTGGTGTCGGAATTATCGTGAAATACACCCTTACATTTCACAGTTTAGTGCCAGTGTTCTCATCAGAAAATTACCTGCCTAATTCAAAATTCTGACAATTTCGTCTTCATAGTTTTAAAATCTGAGTTAACAACGAAATTAGACTCATTGCAAAATGTGTTCTGAGACACAAGCAATTCATCCCCACATTCCGACACCTTGTCTCCGTCAAACGGCAGCTTGATTTACTTTCCGTGACTCGTATTGTTTAGCACGTGCATTGCTCCGTTCCAGTGAATTGGTCAAATCAACACACGCCATTATTTGATCGAAGAAGTGATACGTTGTAAAAAGGGCAAACTGTTCACCAAGTAGTAAATGGGTACCCGATAGGATAATGTGGTAATGTGACTGTTAACCCACTAGCGGCTTGGGTTGTATGATTCCAGGTAGCTGAGAATGAAACTCGAGTGCACACTGATCTATTGGCCGGGACAATAACAGCGTATCGCCATGAGTATCCACTTGGTGAATGGAATCTGGCGCATTGTAAATGAACATTATCCTCCACGGAAAATAAAAGTGGCTCCTTTAATGTGTTACACTTATCCGAGCGTACCCTTGGATTTGATATCATACAAATCATCATTGCAAGTGTATAACTATTGGAGAACGCAGTGTTTAAGGGTTACGATATCTTTGTCAACATACACAGCCTGATTGTCCATACACATCTGTAAATGTCAGAATGACGTTAACTCAGCATAACTTTGAACTCAGGTGAAGTAATCAGTGAATGAGTACAATATAACACCGCACCGATTTTTATATAATATGCCACTGCGTATCAGCGTAACGCAGAAGGAAAATCCAGAATAACTCGCTGAAGACGTTTACCACTTTGAGTGAGTGAGTTGGGTTTAACTCCACTTTGAACAGTATTTCAGTTACATCACAGCGTGCCAGCTTGAGGTGGAAGGAAAGCCAACAGTGATGCAGGTCATAGATGTGTACCACTTTATGAGCCAATGAGCACGGGTATGACACTGACAAAAATAGGAACATAATCCGGGCGAACAGGGATTCGAACCAAAGTGTCTTCACACCAAGAGACGGAATTCTGCAAATGACTAGTGTCCCCTTGATCACTTTGGCAAAATCAATGCAGGGTATTGTGAACCAATGAATGTTGTATGTATGGTGCTGACAATAATAGGAACATAATCCTGGCGAACAGGGATTTGAACCCTTTATCACTGGTATCTGGCGAGCCAGTGGGACGAAACTCTGCACCCGACTGCACCACGCGTACCCCGATGACCACTTTGGCAACATCAGTGATGGATATGGTGCTGACAAACACAGCATTATATTAGGGTCGAACCTTATCTCCAGCGGATCCTGCAAAACCGAAGGATACATCTCGCATTAGCTAATCGCTGAACCTTAAACCTCTTGGTCACCGGTGCCAGGGTTTTGTTTGCCAGTTGTATTTGCGGTCATGGTTATATATAGTTACAATAAAACTTAATTTATTCTATACAAGAAATATTACATGGCTAAAAATGTATTTCATACCCCTGCTGATAAAACCATTTGTTGAACCATGGAAGTGAAAGAGGGGTTAGAAGAGGTCAATCAGTGTACTAGTACTTCTAATAGACTTTTTGATTAACATTTGTCGGTGAAGCGGTGAAGGTTGAAGGAAGGTTGTTCTGCGTGCACTGTTGGGTGCCTTGGGAGTCTTAGTCATCATAATGTTCCTGCCAAACAACCTTGATGTTGTCAACCTTTTTTAACACCAGGGCGTTACTGTTTAAATTTACACTACACCAGATGTCCCCGATAATATCTATGACTTCAAGAGTTTGTTTGACTTTAATCTTTGCTTACAAAATCATTTCGAATGATACGGTCTGCAAAGTGACCCTCGCAACATTGTAATCTTAACTGATAGGTTGATCTCAATATATTTCTTTGTATAGATTATCGAACTAATACATTCGTCTTTCTGGCTCTTTCTTATCACAGTGCAAATGGCCTTCACCCATTCGTTCCTGTCCACAGCACCCTTCACAAAGGTGCCCTCGTACTTTAGATAGCTTTTCCACCCTGAAACAAGTTTACATTTCGACATTGTATCACCCAGCTATTGTCACATTGAACGACTGTTTGATAAATAGTAGTATCAACTGATAAGGTTATACCCCCGTGTGGATTAATGGTTTCAATCACTGAAAGCCCCAGTTCAGATTCGATTATTGACAGGCCGTCGTGATTCAGCTGAAATATTGCTGGTCTCGGCATAAACCACCATCCACTCACGGTATGGTTATACAAGTACAGAGACAATTGAACAAAAGCACATCGAAGCACTGCAAGTGAAAGATATGTTTACAGAAAATATTAACGTGAAAATATTAATATGTGGATGTCAACTTCATCATTATCAGGGGAATGATGAACGAGTAAGCATATACTCCGAAACGTTGTGTTCCTCATAATAAAAAAGTTGACATCCATATATTCTCTTCCTTATGTGGGGCGGTCGGGTAGCCTAGTGGTTAAAGCGTTGGCTCGTCACGCCGAAGACCCGGGTTCGATTCCCGACATGGGTACAATGTGTGAAGCCCATTTCTGGTGTCCCCCGCCGTGATATTGCTGGAATATTGCTAAAAGCGGCGTAAAACCATTCTCACTCACTCACTCTTCCTTATGTGTATTACTTCTAAATGCCTTTCAAAGACGTGAAAATATTAAGGTATTATTACAGGTAATATTGGGGTATCGCCGTTAGTCGGCTATATTACACCTGCTAAAATCACCAGAATTTTGATATTGAATGCAGGTAAACAGAACGATCACTTAAGGAAGAGTGAGTGTGTTGGGTTTACGCCGCTTTTAACACTATTCCAGTTATATCACGGCGTGTCAGCACAGTGTGGGAGGAAAACCCGAAATGATGCAGGTCTGAGACGTTTACCTCGGTGAAACCCACGAACCTAGAAACATAATCGGGGCGAACCGGGATTCGAACCCAAAATCATTTTCTGCCGTGCCCAAGGGACGCAACTCTGCACAGAGAATTGCGGCGCCTAAGACGACTGGGCCACCCGTGTCCCCTCACTTAAGGAAGAAAGAAATTATCTCTGTATTGTTTCGCTTCATTGTTTCCATATGCATAATCATATAAGCAATGGTTTACAAACATCAGGGGATAATAAGTCTCGACTATCTCCTGAAACATATTCATATGCATCTAAAAATCTTTTGGGTGTAAAATCTAGTACAGAAAACGCAAGGGTATATGGTGAATGCTGAAGGTTTCCCATGTATATCAATAGTTATTTAAAGGTTATTAAATACTGGGTCAAGCTATTAAATATGCCATCTTCAAGATACCCGAGAAAATGTTATAACATGATGCTTCTCTGGGACAGCCATGGGAAACATAATTGGGCATCAAAAGTTAAAAACATGTTATACGAATGTGGATATATTTGGTTACAGCAACATGTAAATGTGCCACATCATTTCGTCACCCGTTTGGCACAGACCTTAAAAGATATATACATCCCAAAATGGCATTGTTCTTTGTCCAGTTCTAGAAAAGCAAATAACTACACTTCATTTCAGACTACTATTATACAAGAAGCTTATCTATTAAGTGTAAATTTACATAAGTTTAGAACAGCTCTTTCTCGATTTAGTTGGGGCTCACATGATCTATTTATTGAAAAAGGCGGATATGAAGGTATTGCAAGAGAACATAGACTTTGTACGATTTTAAAAACTGATAGTATTGAAGATGAATATCACTTTTTATGTGTATGTCCAGTGTATAATGATTTAAGAGCAAAATATCTAAATAATTATTTCTACCACAACCCAAACGGTAACAATTTTTGTAAATTAATGACTTGTGATTGTACAGAAACTATGACAAATTTATCAATGTTCATTTTTCATGCTATGAAACTAAGAAAATGTATGAATTTGTAACACGCCCCAGACAATGTACTTTAGGCCTTTGGCCTCATCAGTACCATGAATAAAGATTGATTGTTTGAAACATATTCCACTGCTCGTAAAAAGCAAAACAGCGGAAAATTACCGGAATGGGTCACTGATGATTAGTGATGTCATCAGGTGTTCGCAATAAGGGAAGCATGGACCCTACCGGCAGCACCCACGTGCATAAAAAAGTGTTTGTTTGTTTGTAGCCTTTCGCCTCACAGCAATACTCCCGCAATATGGCGGCGGCCAGAAACAATCGAGTTTACACCAGATGATCGAGTGATGGACCAGGCATTCCAGTGACACTGGTTTTGTTGAACATGAAAACGATATGTTAATTTGAATAACGTCTGCAGCTTATACTAAAGAGAAACGTTTAAGAATGTTATTCTTTTTGCAACACAGTGGGGAGTGTTCTAATGTCTCGGCCAAACATTTCCTTTGTACAATTGATAAATGCTACTAATCTCTGGGAAACTCGGGGACTTCAGTACACCATAAGGAACATCGACACAGTTGAAGTATATATAAATCGTCTCGGTTATGTGCCGAAACAGATTCCACTGTGGTGCAAAGTATATGAATGGCTCACCCAATTTTACTAACTTTGATTGCGAAGTGAAATGACACCGAAACCCCACCGACCTAACCCGGTTGTTGTGTTGACTGAAAGGATTTGAACCCAATGAGTCAAGGACGTTTGATTTGAGAGCCAGTTTGGGACCTAAAGACTTAAAAGTGATTGACCTGTTTTCTTATCTCCTCACGAAACAAAGTCACCTTGATAACACGTGCAGACCCTAATATGGCCTGAAACATGGCTGTAAGTCCCCATTTACCACCGAATTACAATGCAATGCTCTTGAAGTACATTTACCAGACAGTTTTCGTTTCAACATGCGTTTTGCTTTCGGATGTGGTAACTAAAGGAGGAAATAATTATGTATGGAGGTTTGATACCAATTCATAGAGAATGTCACATATAATTTCCATTTCCAGTTTGTTTCTGTTTAAGACCTGTCCTCCCCTTGGCCGCCTGCAAGGTCTCCCTTGAGTAGCTTATCATTTGAAAGGAACGTGTCCAGCTCAGTATGGTTGGACTGTACAACCCTTAACCGGTAAATAGAACCGGTTTGATTTCTTCTGAAAACCATAACGGCTACTCACACAGCAAGGATCAACATGAAGATTGTTGTGTTATGGGCTGTTTTCTGCGTATTTTGTATTCGCGCTATCAATGGCGGGCGTCGATTTAAACACCAAAGTCGAGGTAACGACGTTGATGACAATGCTGAATGGGAACTGAATTCCAGAGGACTCTTGTCACATATTGTCAATCTCGATGTCCTGCCTGACGTCAGTGTATGTACAGTCTCAGTGAAAATGGTTTTTTTGCTCCTGAAACCTTCTTATGTTTCACATTGTTCAACGTCGTAACATAAATATTAACTGTTTATATGCTGATGATTTCTTTGTTTGTTTGCTGTTTAACGCCGCACTCAGCAATATTCCAGCTCTATGACGGCGGTGTGTAAACACTCGAGTTTGATCAGACAATCCAGTGATTGATATCATGAGCACATATCTATGTAAATGGGATACGATGGCATGCATGAACCACTTCAGCGAGACAAACCACCCTATCCCGTTAGTCGCATCTCATGAGAAGCATGTGTTGCTGACGATTAATTCTAACCCGTATCTTCAAGGGTATGTTCATGCATTCATTTTGCGTGAATCAAAGCCTGCAATAATAGTTGTTTCCCAGTCGTGAAGCCATAAGATGGAATACCCATTGTTCAATGACTGCGGGCAACATTTAATGAGCCTTATAACATTGATTATTTTCTTACTGTTCATTTTAGGTTGCCGAAAACAGCAAAGGGCAGATAATCGTGAATCTTCGGGACACTTCGGTTGCTTCCGGGTGGCAAACAGGATGGTATTTGATGAGCACCAATGTCCGACAAAGGCATGGATTAGAGTTCAAACGCGTCGCCATTGTGAGGAAAATAAAACGCGTAAATATCGTCAGTCATACAAAAGTCAAGATTGAAGGCATCGACGTCAGGTAACCAACACCTTGCACAAATGACATAAATCAATACATATTGTGTATGTAATTGTTGCGATTTCTGTCGATTGTCATTTATTGTTTCCGTTTATCTATTTTCAGCGCCTTAGATCTACTTCAGGAAGCACAGGTGTTTCTCAAATATCCCCACTTAACCAATAAACATGGTCATCGTCAGAAAAGATTCGTGTCCAATCTTCTCTCTAAAGTTTTGGACAAAATCAACTTCCATGCCACCGATGGCGATGAGTCCATCAACTTTAACTTTGATCCCAAGACAAATCACTCAATCCATACATACAATGTATACAAGGAGCAGGGTAACAAGGAGGTCAAGGTCGAAAAGATCAGCAAAGGTAAAACTAGTGCCATTCCTCGAGATGTTGACTTTCGCCTCACCTGCAAGGATTGTTTTGAAGTGAGACACGTTGGGCATACAATGTAAGTATTATTATGCAATATATATCGGAACACAATATCGAAACATCGAACATTGGGAAGTATGTATATCATATAGGTACTCTTTCATTTCAGATGTACACAATCAAAATATTCAGAAAATAATTTATTTTTTTTAAAATAGCAAACCTTTGCTCCAAATGTTTCATTCAAACTGACAAAACATTTAAAACAAATAATCTTCTGTTACAGGCAACTTGACGTTGAGAGACGAAACAAGACAGCTTTTGTCAAGAAATTCCTTATGCAGGTTGTATGCAATTTTTCAAATAGTTTCAATCGCTTTTCAGTAATTCTTGACCAAACCCGAAGGACATACTTTTAAACAAACTTAAAAACCTAAAGCTAACACTTGCGATATTAAAAAGATATTAGACAATCCACGAAGCGGTGCTTTCAGTAACACCTTCAGAAACGTTTCAGGGCGACGTCGGTACAATTTACAACGTTGCCTTAGACGTTGACTTCAGAAAAGCCGTCGGCGTCAAGGAAAGACTTATCTTAGACAAAACTCCCACAACGATATTACGGACTATTCCAGTTGCAACGGTGAATGAGAAACTACCAGCCATACAACTAGTTATCTCATATTACAAAACTGTATATTTAGACGTCAACGCAACATCTGATGGACCAGTCAACTTCAGTGGAAAATATCGTGTACAAGGAAATTATACTGCAAGTATGGAGCATTAATTGTCATTATCGTATCATAATTGCTGAAGCTCATGTGCAGAATTTTTTTCAGAGAAATAGTAATGAAGATTTAAAGTAGCAGTTACCATGTACTTGTATTGGTCTACCGTGATGGAGTAATGCTAAAGTGATATCTTTATGCACGCTTTATATATATTTACCAGTTTCAATTACTGCACTGTATCTATCTTTGGAATAGGAAACACTTGAATATATAATCATATTTGAATTCAGCCTCATCTGAAGCATCAGGGCAGATTCCGAAAACGGAGTTGACTACAACTGGCTGGTCATTACCAGGCCATTCATTCAGCGGGCATTCCGCAAACAAGTATAACTTTTCGATGTCCCTTTATCAAGAGGTGAGACCATATACTGTTGTGATGATTATATTGATCGTCAATATGGGTGTCAGTATGACAGAAATTAATGTTTACGTGAAACCGACCGCCTCCGTGGTCTAGAGGTAGATCGTCCTAAACAAGGACTGGTTGGCTCGGAGTCAGTATAATGTTTTCTGAGTGGGGTATTCATGTTAAACTGCGACATGGTATCTCAGTGGGCTAGCACTATAAATCGGCATCAGTCAAAGCAGCCACACACACACACGCGTGCATGCACGTCGCTATATAAGTGCGATAATCTTGGAAGCGACGTAAAACCCAATTTTACCTCACCTTACGTGAAACCCCTGATCGTAGGTGTCAATATCAACTCTTGTATCATCTATTTGGCTTTGTCCTTTCAATAATAGGATAGCTGAAGGTCGGGGGTTCGATCCCTGGCCGCGGTATATCAAAAGACGTTGACAGATGGCACTTATTACCCTGCCTGACACTCTGCATAAAGAGGACTGTTAGTCAAATATGTCTGAATGGGGTAGCCAAGTTATCTGCGGCATAGTATCGCCGTGGGCTAGCAATACGAGAATAGTACATGTCCAATATGGCTAGCACAAGCAGTCACACACAAACGGATGCATGCACGTCAGCAAGTGAAATAATCTTGAACGCGTCGCTAAACACAATCTCACCTCTCCTCACCTTACAGTAATAACGATACTAATAATTATTTTACATGAATATATTTGATTTTTTTTAACAATATGAATCCCCTTGTCTGCCAGGTTACTCTACAAGCTTCTGTTCAGTGGTCTCAGCATGATGTTTCCCTTGTGTTCACGCCGCCGGAAGTTGCAAGTTTCAGACCTGTCCTGTACGCCCGAACTACCGAGGATGAATACAGTCGCTGTGAAACAGCCACGCTTACAGTTGATGGGATGTTTACCCACGACAAGTCAGATTTTGTGGCTAAAGCTTTCCATAAAACCATATGGTAAATTAATTACGTTTCACTTTCGTTTTGTTATTGCTTGCCCTTGACATGCATTAATAATCATAACCATTGCACAACAGATTGTTATTAACATGTCAAGAACACCCGATAGTTATATGATTAATCCTAGTATTAATCTCTGATCCTATACAATTAGGCATGAACAAACACTATTGTCTTAATGATTTGACATAGTCATATTTCTTATTCCTCTTAGGGACCTGGGCTTAGTAGACACGTCCGTCATTCGCAAGTCATTGGTTAACGACACTCTCTCCACTGTCTGTTCCGCAAATTGTGGTCCTCCAGTCGCTGATGTTCATGGGAAGACCATGGCAAACATTTGTGGTGCAGCAGGCCACGCGATCGTTAGAGGAGATAGCAATTTTAAGAAGTAAGGTCACGGGAAGGCTTTGTTTCATGAAGTAAGCACATTCTTATATGGTCTGATTCGGACAAAGGAGATTCCCATGGTTATGAAAATGGTTTTTATTTACAATTTGCTTTTGACTATTGGCAGTAGCCTTAGCGTAACATATATTGTAACTTAGATGATAAGTGTGGTATCAAAATAAAAATTGAGATGTTTCGAAATAATACTATTTTACGAAAAACAATTAATAATCTAATCTAAGGTTTAATATGATAACAGAGTATGTGTTCACATTGCCATATAGGCTTCGATTTACTATCTCAGTATTGCTGAGGTCAATTAGGCCTCACGTGGCGATTTGAGATATCTTATGACGACATTTCGCTTTCAGATTAACCTTGATTGGAGGCGATTTCATCCTATTCCGATCAGAAGAAAAGGACAGTGCCACCTGGTGTGGAACGTCAAAGCGGCCATGTCATAAATGTGTGTGGAGTGATAATGGCGACAGCGAGACTGATGCTTGTGCAGACAGACTGATGACGTCAGCAGCAGCAGCAGCGTTGACTACCCTAGGCCAGTTTGCCGCACAGGAATGGCCAAACCGTAAGAATTCGTTGTAGGGATGCGCTGCACCATTGAGTTCGTGACGTTTGCGAAGTTGATGATGATAAGCTGTAAATTCAAGGAGTAGGTGTGAGATTGAAAATGAAAATATTTAGTCGATGACTTTGGGTTAAATACATGTTTGCTGTATGCTGTTGGCCGACAGTAAATGTGCAATACAATCATGTGATGAAGACGTTTTGGTTGAAAATGAAAAATTTCGAGTTCGGGAATTCGTGCAACAAGAACTGGGGATGAGTGTTTTAACTAACTTATATATCGTCGAAATGCAAGGAATACCAGAAAGATTAAGAAAACATCGAAAAGGCTTGTGGTAAAACAGTAGCGTAGTCTTAGTATCAAAAGAATTTCGAAGACAGTAGGCGAGGAAAGGTCACCTGTAGCATGCAGACAACTGAAGTCAGTCACATCTAAGATAACTCCCTCTCATCACCTGCCCGATGTCTCAGATGGAAAACAGTGGATAACAATATTAAACATAATATGCGAGGTTGCAGGTTCGTTCTGCTGGGTAAAAACAAAAGGATGAGGTCACTAGAAGTTTAGAACAATGGGGACTAGCGTCTTATAATAAAATACTTAAAATAAGACATACAATGGCATGGCTACATGGTGATTTGCCTTTGGAATTTAAGATCATTCAGATAATGGTTGTCAAGAATAGGTCGCTATGAGAGTTTCATAAAGTGGATGTAATTTATTGATAATATCGGAAATACAAATACAAAGAAGTATAAGTATGATTTTTGTGTGAGAAAAGAGGACACGGTAAGATAGCATACCAATTGTGCATATACGATATGTATTTATCATAAAAATAATTACAATTTGCATATACTACAGGGAAACTGGTGGTGCTTGAAGCATGGGATGAACCAACATCGGATCATCCTCACGGAAGTCATGGCGCTGCCTCACTTCACTATTCCGGAAGAGCTTTACAGGTGGCGCTGACAACTGAAAACCCGAGTAAATCTAAACCTCTGCAGTTGGAAAAGTCAGCCCCAGTGTTGAAGAGATTGGCGGAACTAGGTGCCTGCGCTGGGTTCCCTTTCTTTGATGCCACTTCCGATCATGTGGAATTCTGCGTTCATGATGGTTCAACGCCTCAAAAAAGATCAAGGCGATCGGCCATCGGACCTTCTGGAGACAGTTTGGAGAAAGGGTCGTTTCTAAGAACAATAAATGAAACTGGTAAGAAAGTCAAAGATTATTAAGGCTTGAAGGAGGTTTTTATTGAGAGAGATATTGTGGTAATTTGTGGAATCGTAAGAAGCATTTCATGTATATAACGAGAATCCGATAAAGCAGGATAGGGCAATACAGCGAGTCAACGGATGTTGCTGTTATTTCATGAGTTGGCACACACACACCTATGAATGAGTGTAAGACGTCTTAAAGAAACTTCAAACCGTATTTCAGTATATCATGGCGTGTCAGCTAAATTTGGCATGAGTAATCCGGCACGCTCTTATTAGGCTATTGTGACTCGTTACGTGTGTAACTGTGCATTTCCTTATTGAATAAACCCGTGAAGATCGGGGGTAGAAATGGTCTTCAGCAACCCATGCTTGCCGTAAAAGGCGACTATGCTTGTCGTAAAAGGCGACTAACTTGGTTAATGTATGTCATCGATCCCAATTGCGTGGATCGATGCTCGTGATGTCAATCACTGGATTGTCTGGTCCAGACTCGATTATTCACAGACCGCCGGAATATTACTGAGTGCGGCGTAAAACAGCAATCCAACCAACCAACCATATTAATTACATAATGCCACTGGTGTCGAAAAAACATGAGATCGAAAATAGAGCTGTCTTTATTTTTGATACTTTAGGAAGAATGTATCACAAAACTCAATTGATTTTGTATTTGCAGGTCCAGTGTCATTTCGTCACTTTAACACATATAAAGCACATATGGGGAACTATTTTTTTCAGGGCTTAAGTCTGGTTCTACTGTTTGTAAGCAGGGAGTGAACCATCATCAGGTTCAAGTGCTTTCCCACGTCATCAACCCCCCATTGAGAGAACATGATTTACAATATAGGTATGTGTTGATAGAATCCATTTTGATATAGCATCGAAGCCATATCAATTTTGCCATCTTTAATCGAGACATAGCATTATGATATATTTGTTGTGAGAAATGTATAATACATTTATAAAATGAATATCATTTTCCCCAGACTAATTCAGTATCCATATGAAGACGTCATATTCAAGCCCGAGGGATCATCATCGGCAACATGCTATCAGTCGACCAGGAGATGCAAAAGCACGTGCAAGTGGTCTGACAGTACGGAACCCTGGGATTGGTGTCAGACGAGGGTCATGACCCCAAGAATGGCGATACGTCTACGACGAATGGCCGCTATTGTTAACCATCATCATTCAGGTATTATTGTTTCATATTAGTATGAGATGATGGTAATCTTTTATTCTTTGTTTACCGCTCCATTACACAGTACAATGTTTATCAATATACATATACTTTTAGTTAAAATCCTCAGCAAAAGGGTTCTCTTGAAAATAAAAATATTTATCTTTTGAATCCGTTCGAACGAATTGCAAAAACACAGGTCAAATTATATGCATTTAAAGCATAAACGTTACTACAGTGAATCTCTGATTGTTTGGGATGTCATGTTCCTTTACTGAGATTGATTCTTGGAAGTGTACCTCATCTATTTATGTTTCATTGAAATTAGTATCAGTTTGAACGGTTGCTTATCTCAGTACCATTGTGAGGGTATTCAAGGTGAGGTGAAATGGGGTATAACGTTGCGATATTGCACTTATATAGCGACGTGCATGCACGTGTGTGTGCGTGCGTGCGTGCGTGCGTGCGTGCGTGCGCGCGTCTGTGTGTGTCTGTGTGTGTCTGTGTGCCTCCTTGTACTTGTCCGGACGAATGTATTTTGGTATGACGCGGCCGGGAATCGAACCCCGGACCTTCCGCTCGGGAATCGAACCAATGTCTTTGGCTGACAGGCAAACTCTTTAACAACCATGTGTTGACTATTCCATCGTTCCTAAGACGTGAATCCAAGTATATCTGTATTATTATCACACTACAGGTACAAAATTAAGTGTGTCAAAGCCATCCCTTGCAGTTCATCAAGGAACATCTGATGGCATCATGCTTGAAATGAATGGGAGGTAAAGTTACACATATACATACACGTTCTAAATTGCTGTCTAAAAAGTTGTTGCCCATCACTGGATTGTCTGGCCCAGACTCCATTATTTACAGACCGCCGTCATATAGCTGGAAAATTGCTGAGTGCGGCGTTAAACAACACACAACAACACATGTTTGACAGAATACTTTAAACTCATGCATATATTATTAACATTCTAATTTATTAAGTCTCATATAACCATTTTTTATCAATCATATGTAAATATGAATATGATATTATTTTTAAAAAACAAAAAACATTCAAACAACAATAGAGGTTTATATATATGTTACCCCATGATAGACCCACGATTCACTATGTGTATATACCAAACCAACAGGAAGCTCAAGATTTCTACACAATCAGGCACAACACCGCCAACATTCGAGCTCCGCTCTATGGCAAACTGTGCAGGCTTTGACTTCGTAGACACCTCCAAGTCTTCATCCATTGACGTCTATGTAAAGCTGCAAGACGGCTACAGGGCAACTGTTGTCCCGTTCCAGGCTACTACTTTGTTAGCTGTAGGGGTCAAGGACGAAGACTATGCCTACCCCACTGAATTGAAGGACGAGTCTAGAAAGTCTTTACTGTTTGATGGTTTCAATAAGGACGTAGCACTCTCGCAACACTTTAAGATATCTGATTTCAAGCACTCAGAGAGGAGGTTCTTCAGACTCGATACATCCCTGGTTGACTGTCTAGAGATGGTGGTAAATGATCTTGGAAAAGAAATCAGAGTCATTCAAAATTCTGCTTACAGGTGTGTATATGGACAAAGATGTATTGTTATTGAAGGCTTAATTTTTTTTATATCGGATATCCATATAATCTTCTGTTGGATACGTAGCAGCAGTTTGCTCTTGTAGATGAAAATTCTTACACTTTATCGATTGACAAGATAAGCTGTGCACATTTTGAAAGAATTTGTATCACCACTAACTGTGACATGTGGGATATGTTACTGGATATTAGATGAAGAGATATTTTTCATGTCAATGTCATACGTTGTTTCCACACATGATTGTACCACCCAGGTCCCATTCCATCAACATGCGTGACGTTGACCATAGACATCCTCAAGAAAAGTTCAGATTCGAAACAGGGCAAGCTATGTATGTCACGCCAATCGCAGACCAATCAACAGAGGTCCTTGTAAATATTGGACAAGCGTTTCTGAGAAGCTGTTCTCCAACGCTTCGACTGCAATCACGTGGCCTTGGCATTGGTTGTCATAGTGATAAATTATACATCGACATTCGACCAATGACTTCTGGTGATGTTCGTGACATAGCTGATGTGTGGGATGCGGGAAATAAGGCTTTCTTTGACATCATGCATAAAACGATGAACGAACTCAGAAAAGGTACATAATGTTTTCAGAACATTTGAGTATATGACATTCCTACTAGGTTATGACAACCTTTATATCGATATTTTAAACACTCGAGAAATGGACATAAAAATAACACCTAAATGAAACTGCTTTAGAGTCAATGACACAATGTAAATAACAATGGCAATATTCACTCTTGTAAAATACAGAGCTGATACACGTTTATGTATGTATCATAAACATTGTTTCTTTCTGTAGGGGGGCCAGCAATATATCCGTTGAACCAAAGGAGGACATGTAAAACGCCGCGGCTTGGTGAACAATTCGCATACTACTCCTTCAACACATATTCAATTGGGTACGTTTGGAACTTGGCATAAGTTCTATCAGTTGTATTTTTTTAAATAATAGTATTGTTTAATTCATGAGGTTTCTTTTTCATATCTTGCAACTTACTAAATGTGAAACTAAAGTTTACATGTGGTGAAACTGATTGCTTATATGTGGTGAAGTGATCTACTCAAGTCTGAGCATTGCACAATGCTGGCGAACCTACTTCCAAATGTCATGTCGTCATGATAAACACTGGTCTATGCTACTTTGTCTGGTTAATACATACATCAGGTTCTGTTTCCACGACCGGGAGAGCCCCTTCTGTCGCGAGACCACAGAATACAGACGGCATCAGGCCAACAAACTCCGAGATGACCTGATGAAAGTTGCAGGGACCACGATGACCAGGAGTTCGATAGAAGCGGATCTTCAGAAGTGTGTTCTGGAGAACTGTGGAGGCTGTCCTGGGAAAGGTATCTCACATGTAAAAGTAAAGCACGGCTACTGTAACACCCAAGGTTCCTTTACACAACTTGACAACTAGTGCATTGTTTTGTTGTTGCTCGTTCCAATCACAAAATCTCTTCTACTTCTGCTACATGTTTAATTCGTAGGAACAACATGGAATAAGAAAGTGAGTGGATGCGTGGGCATGGTTCACACTTTTCTGACGCTTGCCAAAAACCAGTTCAAAGATGTAGTTGACAAGGCTGCCTTCTTCAACATCGACAACGCTGAATCAAGTGTTCACTCTCTGGCGTGTCATGACGGCAATGTATGTGTGGAGAACACGCAGCTATATTCTCTAATAAGTAAGTGATTGAAATTAGTTGCTTATTTCTAAGAATTTAATAATTTCAAAAACGTCTGGTATTGTGTGTCAAAATGTCATCTTGACACCGAAAACTTGTCAAGACCTTTGCTCCACATTACTATGAACTGATATTGATTAAACATGTTTTATTGATGATAAAATGTTCGTTACAAAAGTGATAACTCTTTAACGAAAATAATTTACATCTTGTCCAAAGTGATCCATTGTTAAAGGAATGGCTTCCTATTCTGTGTAATATCTATTTTATGAAACTCACGGTAACACCCATACCACATCGTACATTAGGACTATTTGTGTGCTTGCAGTGCCTCTGATGAACTCCAAGTACCAGCCTGACCCACAACAGAGCAGAGAGGAGTTGTTGTACAGCGGCGATGACAACCCCTTGCCGCTGGTATCTCTGGTTGAACAAGAGTTTGCAAGACAGGTGTCTGGCGTTGTGAAGGTGTATATAGAGTCTGAGGCAGACATGGCCAGTATGAGGGATGTAATAAAGGTATGCATGAGAAATGCTTCTAAATGAATCAATTATTCGAGGGAAATTATCGGCTGTAATGTTAATTGTTTAGGAATGACAAAATCCGATTTATCTTAAAAATAGCTGGCATTTGATTTCCATTGGATTATTCATAATCGGGGTTCCTTTTAACGTAGTATTGACATTCTTTCAATGCGATATCATATCCAAGGCTCCCTGATCCTTTGAAAACAAACTCGTCCTTGTCATTTTACATTGACAGGCATATAACAATCATTGAGCCATTGTCATCCCTCATCTTATGAATCTTTCACAACACAAAAACATGTACATTCTAACAAATATTAGAATCCCAAAACGAACGTTGTTGTACATTGTCATCTTGTTCCAGATCCTGATGATCTACAACAGGGACGTGACTGAGGTGGAGTTCCATCTGACGGACACGGTGGACCAGGACAACGTCGTGTCCGCCCTGCAGAGGAAGCTGGAGTACTGGTCGGGGACGGCATGCCCCAGGCGGAGTCGGTTTGCTGTGGCTGGTTTCAGCATCCATGACATCCCCCATCACAGGAGGAAGAGGAGTCTGGAAAGGAGCAGGGGCAGGAACAAGGTGAAGAAGGCCATGAAGGAGTGGGAGCTGGACTGGATAAAGAAGATGTGAACTGACAAACATATTTTCGGATTATAGATGTGCCGATGACATTCAATATCCAGAGAAGGACGTTTAGATGTTTAGAGTGTTATGGTGATGCATTTGTGATTAGACTTCATGGTTCGTGACAACGCTGAACCAGATTAATGAATACATTGACACTTACCAATGATCTTTAGTGACTCTTGACATTGTGTGATGCTTTTAGACCTACCTTCGATATTCTTATCCGAGATGAAATACTTTCAGATATCAGTGAAGAATGGTTATATCTGGTATATATCGTGAATAACTAATAAAATACATTGACAATATTTCGTGTTTTCTTTGTTGTATTATTATTATCATTATTATGTATCCATCCCCGATGTAACGCAATTATAATGATATTTAATTTTCATCAACATGGCCGACGCCTAAAGAAGCTGAACATGAGCACACAGTTTAATTAATTTTATATCATCATACTTGAGTCAGCTGGGGCAGTGGGAGAGATTACCTGAAGAATGTAATATGTCCCTCCATGGCGGTGGATAAATGGTAACGATATATATGGTGATAGAATTTTATGAATATGATCCATTGTGATATTTTTGATAGAGGTTGATTGAGTTTCCTAACTATCGTTGAGCAATGTATGTCCGCATACTGAGAGACGATATAATAAGTGCATTAATAATGCGCCAAAATTCCTTTCACCAAGTGAAGCTGATGGTGCCACATTACAACCCAAGCTGCCCGTCATGCGCTTGAAGGATACAGTCACCTACCATAACACCGGGTACCTACTAACTGCTGGGTGAACAGAAGCATATTTTGAACAAAGTCACCTGCCAAAGTTGACGTGTTACATGGGCTTATATTTAAACAGAAACACTCAGTAGTCTGGCTGCCGAACACGGACACCAACTCTATATTAAGTAACACCATTGCCCGGATGAAACCTAAGTCCAACACATGATGCTTTCAAACAAAACCAGGGGCGGTCGGGTAGCCTAGTGGTTAAAGCGTTCGCTTGTCACGCCAAAGACCCGGGTTCGATTGGGTACAATGTGTGAAGCCCATTTCTGGTTTCCCCCGCCGTGATATTGCTTGAATATTGCTAAAAGCAGCGTAAAACACATACTCACTCACTTACTCAAACAAAACCAAGAGCTTTGGATTTCAATGCCTTTTTGCGAGTGCAAATTATATAGGTAAACACAAATCGGGGAATTATCTTTTGCATGTAGCATGGTTTCATGATGTATTATATTAGATGGAGGTTTTATTTACGTTAACCTGTTGAAAAGGGCAACTGAACAAGTTAACAACATAAACGGCTACAAGTACTTAACTTTTAAATGTCAAACATGAAATAAATCGAGAGATGAAAGCAGCATCAGATTTCAGCATCAGATTTTCTTTAAGCACATACAGAGAGGCATTACTTCTCCTTTAACTATTGTCCGTCAAATACTTTCGGCAAAATTGTTTCATGAATTAAATCGCATGAACAAATAATGTCGTCAGTTGTTGTTTGGAACCCATGACCTACCTTGAATGCCACCTTTTTGTAATTTTGCACCAAGTAGTATTTTTGTTCATTAATTTTAAAATTATCATATTATTTTGTGGGCAGGTTCGTGGCAATGGTAAACCGCAGTTGAATGAACGTCCGTTTGGGTAGGGGCAGCTTCAACATGCTCATTATGCTGTTCACATTTAAATATTAAGTGGAAACAGCTGACTTCAAGTTTGAATAGTAGCCTCGTCCAACGATTTAAACGAAAGACAAGGTGACAATCGGATAGAAATCCTACACGTGATTCTGCATGCATAACAATTAGTCTTTCTCCTTTTCAAACTAACAGTTTTCAACAATGTTTCGAATCTGGTTGTTGTCATTGGTAATTATTAAACATTAACGCCAGAGAATATTCAGCCTCAATTATCTACTAAAATAGATTCCATTGGGGGTAAACAGCAAAATAACGATGAAACATATGAGTGGATTCTGAAAATCAGAGATGACACCAGGCGTTCTCGAAAGGTCAGCTTTGATTTTCATTTAACCAGGTTTCATCCAACCAAACACGTTCGAGTCCATGATCCCTTTGCTATACCTGAATCATTGTCATCGTCATGACCAGATTCTTCAGGGGAGATTATTCGATATATAGTTCTTGTGGATCTGTTGGTTGCATAAAGCGTTGTGTGAAAATGAAGATTCGTCTTTTCTTATTCACGCTTCAAGGGGTGTTAAAATTTCTGATGGTGTCGATCCTTTGACAACTTATCTGAGATCATTAAAACCATATTCAAAATACAAGAGTGGCATTTCAAGGTAGGTCGAGTGCTACAATTCCTTTTTGGCCAACTTATAACTATTTGTTCAAGGGATTTAATACATCTAGTACCGTTTGCTCAACGTTTTGTTGACTGAATATAGTGTAAATAGTCTATACCGTAATTGTAATCCGAATTGTAAATAGCCATTCAACATTCAGTCTTGCTGCGGTGGTGGGGTATCCTAGTGGATAAAGCGTTCGCTTGTCATGCCGAAGACCCGGGTTCGATTCCCCACATGGTAACAATGTGTGAAGTCCATTTCTGGTTTTTCCCCGGCGTGATATTCCTGGAATGATGCTACAAGCGGCGTAGAACCATACTCACTCACTCACTCACTCACTCACTCATTCAGTCTTGTATTAGTACTGCTAATATCTGATGACATAGAAAGTGTATATGATCACCTCAAACTCCAGGTGTATTCTTCAATGGGTTTTTTTTCCAAATAACTCTCAAACTTGACATTTTTAGATCAGCTGACTAAAATTATAATGATTATTATATAGTATGTTGTTATATGCGTATTATGTGTCTATGTATATCCATTCATTCGTTCGTTGGTGTTTCTATACTCGGGGTATACCAGTTTGGGGTACTTTGCGTGGCAGGGACTAAGTACAAACACACTGACACCATGGAGGTCGTTTGAAAGGTATTGCATTGACCTTGCTATCACAAAATATACGTTCTTGTTTACTTTGCATGATAGGGACGAAGTCCAAATACACCAACACCACAGAGGTCGCTTGAAAGACATTCAAGTGTCCTTGCTGTCAACACCATTTAGGTGGGTGATCAGACCAAGGCAATTTACAGTCTCCAAATGTCAAGAAGTAGAACAAAGAGCTTAACTGTTTGAAGTTTGTTCGTTATTATCTTTGACGTATCTGTTGACGTAAGGTGGGGTGTTGTGTTGATCATCGTGGGGGATTTCGGCCCCTGTTAGTTGCTACCCACAACACAGCCATTGGAGACTTGCTGGTAACTCTCCAAGTCTACGTTGAGACGTTTGACACATCAAGGACCCCTAAAGTGATATGTATTGAGGTGTTTTATTAAATACTGTTACTTGGACATTTTCATGACGCAGCACTATTGATTCCAGAAGTATTGATTTAATAAATGTCGTAATATATATTGTGGAAAACAACTATGCAGCATCGTATGCTATATGCAAAACACGTGAATAATGTTACTAAAAGGATGAAAGCAGTGGTAAGGCAATGTGGACCACGACAGGCATGGACATCTTAGCCTTGAACTGATTCAGATATATCAAGTTTATACACTGAGCGCAGCTGTAAACGTCATTGCAAGTGTTGTTTAAGTTTATGTTCATGCATAAAAGATATATAAACTACAAGTTTATAACCTTTTTAAGACATCCGTATACTTTAGCCTTCTGAAACATTGATCTGTAACAGTGGGTATATTCCAGACAGATTTTATAATCCGTTGATCACCCATATCTGTACATGTAGATAAACATAATATCCAATACTAACCAACACGATGGTAATAAGGCAGGTGTATAAAACATGTTGCAATTATTGTAGTTGTGTGTGTATGATGGTGTAGTAGTGTTGGTGGGAGTTGCCTCAGTCAATGACGGTGGAGGAGCGGGGAGCGGGGAGCGGGGAGATGATAGAAAAAATGTTCACATTTCCTTGATTATCACAAATAATATTTCAGTAATATCTCATTTTTTTATTTCATGTAAACTTTCTTTGTATTGATATGCCTAACTGTGACAACATGGATAATGATAACCTTGTCGACATTACCGCTATCTTTCGTTTTCTGCAGTAGAGGCGGTGCGTGAAAGTGGATCACTTTACGGCAAAACAAATAACACCGTTATCAATATCAGCGACTTGACCTTGACCATAAGTGTTGTGCAGGTTTAAATTAAACGTCGTTGTGCAGGATCGCCTATGCAGCTAAGTTAGTGTACAGATATATACCAAAGAGAGCAGAGATATTTGAACAAGTAACACGAGGTGAGTTAATTTGGTGTAAAAACTATTTTTTCAAAGTGTTTTTATTAATATTAGTGTTGTTTTTTAACATCGAAGACCAGAACTACAAAAGACACATTCAAACAAACAAACAAACAAACAAACATATATATATTCAAGTAGCTCTTTTTCAAGTGTTAATGTAATGTCCCCCATTGGAGATAAAATGTAATTATTATATAGTTATTGATAAATTATAACTAAAATGTTTAATTTATTAAAGGGACCGGAGGGGTTAAAACTTTGACTTGGCAAGCCGAAATGGCTGAGTTCGAAACTCGACACAGTTACTCCTGGTGCCTTTCGCAGTGACCATACTAACACGTTCATTGCCAAATATTTATATATTCAGTCAACACGTACTTTGGGGGACGTGGGCACGGTCTGATAAGTCGTCGAGGGCGCTGCAATTTGCAGTGCCCGCTGTGCAGAATTTGCCTCCCTTGGGCGTGCTTAAACCGAAAATGATGGGTTCGAATCCAACTTCGCCTTCATTATATGTGCAGGTTTGTCAGCACCATACCCGTGCCCGTAAGTTCCACCACAATGGGAAACGAAAAGACTTGCATCACTTTCTGCCACATCAAGCTGACACGCCATAGCATAACTTGAATACTGTTCAAAGTGGCTCAAATTCACTGACTCGCTAACTCAGATATGATCAGTGGCTCTTTCACTGCATTTAGACAACCAATACACAACATTTTCTCCTTCCTTATAGTGACATCCGCAGCCATGCGATCATGGGGATACCTTGCGTTTTTAACCATCTACATTAGTTCATCTTCAGAAGGTCTCAGCAACACTGGGTATGTTATCTATTGTTGGTTTAAAATGCTTTATACTAAGATTTGCTTCTGGTTATTTCATCTGGTATCTTCTGGTGGGAGAGTGTTGACTTATAATTTACTGTTGCAGTGCACATGTCTGTCATCACACCGTGACAAACGTCGGTTCCTATCAAGAGAGATACACGTCGCACTGTGGGTTTCTTAACATGAGACGGTGTTCTCATCATCGAACAAGGTGAACATGATTTGTGTCCTTACAGTCGTGCCTTTGTCTGTTAATGTGATGTTATGTATCAGAAGGTAATATACTATCATAAAAAGGGTACTTGCCTTTATGGAGACACGACATATACTTAAAATATACATGTGGATAACGTTACGAGCATAGAGGTGAGGTGATATGGGGTTTAACGTTGCGTCCAAGATTATTGCACTTATATAGCGACGTGCATGCACGGGTGTGTGTTGTGGCTGCTTGTACTGGTCCGGACTGATGCCGAGTTATGGTGCTAGCACACTGATACCATGCCGCTGTTTAACATGAATACCCCACTCAGACACAGTATACTGACTCCGAGCCGACCAGTCCTTGTTTTAACCCCCTTAATGCCGAGCGCCAGACAGTATAACAACAAATACCATCTTTTAACGTCTTTTGGTATGACGTGGCCGGGGATCGATCCCCGGACCTACCGCCCTCCAGGCGGACGCTCTATCACTAGACCACGGAGGCGGTCTTAAGATTATAAAAGATATGTAGATAATACAACCATCTGGGTTTATTGAAAACTCCCCCCGAAAACAGGATACCCTCTAAACAGAGAAATGACCAGTGTCAGTGGTGTCCATCAATAGCGTGGGTGGCCTCCGTTGGATGCGATACAGGCCGCACATACAGGCCGTTACATTGAGTCACATGTCTTTGGAAGAACGGAAGAAAAATGTTTACGGGATATATTTATGAAATCGTGTGCTTAGTCAACAAACAACAATCCCCTCACATATCACTCTGTATTTTCCCATCATCATATCAATTATTTCCGAGTTGTAGGTACCGCGTAGATTCACGTGTAGTGTATGAATGCTGCCCGGGATGGCGAAGTACCAACGGTGTCGACTGCAGCACAGGTATTGACGCTAATTAATGTCAGTTGCATGGTCACTTACATTTTAAACAAGCGAACAAATGTTTTGTTTTTGTAAATTATATTTGAATTCATAATCTTTTGATAGCATCCATGATTTTGATGTTTATTTAACTGCAAATACTGTCACCTCCAGCCATCTGTTACGACAAGGACAACACCAACGGAGCCTGTAACCAGAGAGGAAGCTGTGTTGCACCAAACAAGTGTTCCTGTCACACTGGCTATACAGGATCACAATGTGGTAAATGTCATGTCTACATTTAAGTGATTCTCCACACTTGGTATACAGGATTGCAATGTGAAAAGCGCCTATGTGCCTCACCAAATACATCCGTCAAGAATGGAAACCAACAGAACGCAAGCTGCTTCAAATGACAATGATGGTAATGCGAATGTTTGTAGCATTAACGTCCCTTAAATGTTAGTTGGGGAGATCCTGACAACTCTGGTACCCTTTCAAAACGAAGTTTCTAGGACCATCCGCTACTTTTAATGAAGCAACGTGTCTATGCCTCGACGCGCAGATGATTGTTTGTTTTTTCGGGTGTTAGGGGTTTTGTGCCACGTCTTTTTGTGACAATTTTGGTCACTGTTTACCTGCTCCTGAATCATATTTCCTTTTTTTCTCATATTGTTAGCAGTATAATTCGACTAAGACGACTGATTTTGGCTGCTTCAACTCTACATGTATATCCACATGGGTGGCCGTTCAATAGCTGCGTTGAGTATACTTGAAACAGTGACAATTAACAGGTACAGGACGCTGATAACGAAGTTATTACAAATATTACTTGAACTTGGGCAGAATGTTTTAGAGAGATTTTTCTTTTTCCATTTCAGAAAAATGTCTTGATGCTCGAGGCGATTCTGAACATTCAATCTGGTGGAACATTAACAGCCATCCTGACTGTGCTCGTGAGTTTTAAAGTTAAAGCGGGAAAATATGAGCCTATATACACATGTCGACTATCTGCGTAATGCATATTTATGAAAGTACTTCATTTTAGGATGAAAGTTTATTTCCTTTTTTCACTGTCACCTATGTTTATAATATCAGTGACCTGTTCCTGGAAGAACCAATGGTGTTGGCCCGGCGACTGTCCAGATGCGGCCAACAGAAATCTGAGGACAAATTGTAAATGTAGGGCCGGCTTCGTTAAGAAGGATGGCGGTTCCAGCTACACAAAGTGTGACCGTGAGTACAACGTGTTCAACTTAAATTCTATTAAATTCAACTTATTCTCACTGCAAACACGAAAACGTCGTTTTTTTCCATATATGGTCATTGGACGGAAAAACGACTAAAAATTCATTAAAATTGATTAATTGGTCAGCGTCTAGAAAGTGTCCAGAAAAGGGTCGAGTTTTTCAAGCGTAAAATGGACGGAAAAACGATGCTTTTTGCTCCGCCTTGTACAACTGTTAACGGCCAATCAGATGGCGCTGGTCCCCCGACGCACGTGATGTCCAAGGCTTCCTTTCGAAAGCTTTAGGTTTCGTATTTCTGGCATGCCTTGCTCTAGTATCTGTCGCGCGCAGTGCAGCGAGATTTGCTGATAAGCTAGTTTTAGGATATGTAACATGTTAGTGGAATTCAGACACGCGCCAAGAAGTCAAACCAAAAAATGTTACTAAGTTTATTGTGGTAACGGCTATGCACAGTTACCCCTATCGGATAATGGGTTGTGTTTCATTTGGTTATAACAATAACTAATATTTTAATGTGAAGTTTACAAGATATACGACTTGGACGCGAGGTCGGTCACATGACGTTCTTCACGTGACTGTATTCTTGAAAAAGGCGTAAACACTGACTACTTCCACATTCCTGGGGAAAACCCTTGGAATTCCCTGGTACGAATTCATACAGAAGTGTGGTTACAACCCCATTTAAGGATACCCTCGCTACAACCCATCCCAGTGGGAAAAAACACGAAAAAAAAATCCAAACTGTCGCATTGACAATTTACTGAAATCTTTGAATTTACCTTAGTATCAATTTGACACATCTTCACAATCACCTTTCAGTGATCGGCCAATTGATCAGTGATGCCAACGGCTTGAAATAGCCACAGGTTAATTAACAACTTCGAAAATATCTCCCGTCACGTTTATCGTGTCGGCCATTTTGACGTATTGTACTTGATGTAAATGTATTACGATGCTCTGTCATTGTAATTGACTTACTGAGGTAATTCTGTAAAAGATCTTCTCACCTAATGAGGATATTGTTTGGAATATATTTCTTGTAAACATACTAAAACATATGTTCCTCGCTTTGGGGGAACTATTTTATTCCGGGGTGGCCCATTAAATCTAGTAGTAGGTCAAGGCACCATGCGTGATCTGTTATTCTTTGTGTTTAAATTACGATTTGGGGCGTTAATAAAATACACTGACGCAAGTATATTCTATTCAAATCAATTGGATAATTGAATATGCTTTCTTTTACATATTACATAACATCACTGCACAAAATATGAACAGTTGCAGTAACACACTACGGTAATCGCATTAAACATCATTTTCAACTGTACAGTATTTCAGTATTTCAGTTATATCATGGTGTATCAGACTGATGTGGGATACAAATCCGAAGTGGTTCAGGTCATCCAATGGGTGTTCGGGAAAAGGTGAGCGTATCCTGCCACACAAGTGGCACCCGTCACAAACACATGCAAGGACAAGTCAATTGTTCACCTGAACAAAGCACGGAAACACACAATGATGCCCATCCTCACTTTTACCGAGCATGTAAATTATTTTGTCCGTCAAAAACATGGACGAGTATAAACAATATGTTCATTCACGTAATACATGTCATACATTTGACAAAATGTATTGACTCGGAGTATTTTTGTTAATCACAGCGTATGCAGTTGAACTCGTCACCCATCCCATTATTGATAACCCTTCTTGAAGATCTATGAAATCAGAAGCTGCAACACTCTATCTTTTAACTGGCTTGTGAGACTTCTATTTCATTACTCAGTTTTATTTGCACGGATTACTATGGAAGGGACATTGTCGCATTGACGCCCTTTCAAAAACAAGCAAAACGTGTCAAAATTAACAAAAGCGCGACAATTGGCCATTTGTGGCATTGTCGCGTGTTCGCATTGTCGCTCTTTGATAATCCTTTTCTTTATTTTACAAAAGGGCGACGATGCCGTAACGCGATCTTTTCAAGGTCAAAATATGTCTCGTTGTCGCCCCATAACAAATGTGTATAAAGTTCAGTTATTGTTACAGTTAGGAAGTTCAACCTGATAAATGTACGTCTTGAAATGAAAACGCAAGTCCGTCCGCGAGTGCATAACGTTTTATTGTGAGCACTTCTCTAAAAGTGCTTAGTGTTCAACTCCCAGTTCCAAACACGTAGTACCTCCTCAATAATCCACATACCTCCAGTGCAGTGGTCTTCCGGAAGATCCTACTCTTGACCGTATTAGACAACTGACGAGTGCACGCCTGACCTGTGACCTCGTTGCAACCCTCGTGATGTGTTTGCCGAAGGGAGAGGTGTAGGAAATGTGTGCTCCAGTCCAGCGCAGAGCTCGCGACACACTGTGTACTGAATGTTGTATACAGTATATTGCAGTTGATATACTGTATACTGCATGTGATACTTATTTGGGGAAATGTTACAACTTTCAAGATTCAAGATTCAATTTGCATATATTTCATATACAACAGACCGCCGTCATATATCACTGGAATACTGCTGAGAGCGGCGTTAAAACAAATTGTTTTCATAATGGAGCGCTGCAGTCATTTAAAATAGAACCGTATACACATGTACATGTAGTACCAACTCACTCTATTTGTTTCGAATATTCAGCAGAAAATATATTATTAACCAGGTCTTTGGGAAAAGATATCAGATTTTTATAAGCAGCCACATAGGGATGATAAAGGACCCCTCGCTGATTAGGTTCTTGTTTACTTAAGAGCAGAGTTGGCCATGTTAGATGATATAACCAAAATCCGGGAGCTCCGGCGGGGGGCAAACTGGTCTTGTTAGTGTATGGTATGAGCTGCGACGTTGACCCAAGAGAATAATGTAAAACATGAGACCAACTCAAGTCTGTAATGATTTGGAAAGTCTAGATTTCCACAGCTCTAGCCTGAAATTAAGAATTGTTCTGTGCTCCATTTTAATTGTATTATTTTCATTTTGTAGACATGGATGGACCAACCAGGAAAGAAATTGATGGAATATTAATATCACATGTTACAACTGATCCAGTTAAATTCATCACACAATAATAAATTAGTATTTGACATAACGGCATTTGATTATTAGGACATGATCATGTACATGTTCACTGTAGTAATGTACGCACCAGTCAACTTGATTATAATTTGTTATCAAAGTGTAGCGCGGCATCAACGATTACTTTATGATATCCTCACTTGTCATCATGTATTGACATCGAACAATGGACGGCAATTCGAAATTCTTATGGATAGCTTCAATAGGGACAGCACCGGTGTCAGTACAATTTTCCTAGTTAAAATAAGTATCTACAAAATATAATCTGAAGCAGACAAGAACAATATTTTTTTAATAATGCTTACTTTCATGGATAGAATTAAGGCAATCTAGGCTTGCCAAATCGTTCTAGACTTGAGCTGGATTCCTTTTAAATTTATTCTGTATGGTCTGGGAGAAGAACGGGCGTCAGTATCGCATGGAGAACTGGGACAGCCTTATTCAGTGTAATCGGATATGTTGTGGAGTTTCGGTTTTGGGCTGTTTGCTGAATATACAGAATTGCGAGTTATGTATACTCTGTATTCTTTCGTCATGGTAGCATATATTTTTTCGATGTTGCTTTTTGAATTATTTTAATTGTATTATTTTCATTTTGTAGACATGGATGGACCAACCAGGAAAGAAATTGATGGAATATTAATATCACATGTTACCACTGATCCAGTTAAATTCATCACACAATAATAAATTAGTATTTGACATAACGGCATTTGATTATTAGGACATGATCATGTACATGTAATGTACACACCAGTCGACTTGATTATAAGTTTTATCAAAGTGTAGCATCAGATAGTGATATACACGAATATGATCTATACTATGATAAATGTATTATCAATTTCGTATTATGAATTAGATAAACAGAAATATGATAGTAAAACAAATTATTTTAATCTATTCTTGTGAGTAGGTAACGAGAGATCTAGGCAACTCACTAACGTTTCCATTTATGAAAAATGAAATATTAAAAGTTTAGGGGTTTGAACATGCACATTGAATGACAGGGAAGAAAGCAACGCAATAAGTAAATTATGAATCAAATTATGTTATAAATATAACAGAATATTTAGAAAATACAAGTTTAATTTCTCATTGTTGGAAGGTGTTTAATAATTATATAGATTGTGTTTGATTGTTTGTTGTTTAACGCCGCACTCAGCAATATACCAGCTATATGACGGTGGTTCGTAAATAATCCAGTCTGGACCAAACAATTTAGTTATTATCATCAAGAGCACCGATCTACGCATTTGGGATACGATGACATGCATCAACTAAGTCAGCGAGCCAAGTCGCCTTCGTACAAGCATGGGTTGTTGAATGCCTATTCTAACCCGGATCTTCACGAGTATTTTTTAAAATAATAAGGTACAATGAAATTCTGTATATGTCTATAATAAGTGTGTATAAGTAGATGGATAATATGTCCATACACGCCAAGTAAATGGTATATGCATTAATTTAAATGCAAATGATTCAATGATGAGTTATTTCACAAGTCCATATTTCAAGACATGAATTTGATATTCATAATAACTCCACAAAAGCTACACAATGGCAACAAAACGGTACCAGCATCACAGATGCCAATAATACATGAGATACATATAATTACTTTAAAGTTAAAACATGTATCTAAATAGAAAATTAGAAGGATACACTTCCGACATTTTTCGTATTTTGTTTTCGTTTGGAGAGAGAAGTTGTGATTGATATCTGATGGGTGCAAACATGTGTTCCCTTCCGCCCAGGCCTTGCGGCATTGCTATAGCCCAAAATGAAACAAGCCTTGTTCAACAGGTTCAGACTGAAATTTCCATCCCACTTGGGCTCCTTTTAAATTTAAATATAGTTTCTCGTGTCGATATGTGTCAGAAGAAATGAAATATTACAGCACTGGTGAATAGGTTATA